GATTTGGGTTGAACACTGTAGGAGTTGATTACACAAATTAGGTACCCATTTCCCCTCCACCTCGTCCATCCGCCCGAGATCACCACACTAAAAGTCAGTTTTGACCCGGCCAAATATCTTAACTTAAAGGAAACATAAACAACTGTTAATAGATAAACGTTGCTTCAACTGTATTGCGGCAAACTTAAACTTTCTTATTTCAATGTATGTTTATGTAACGGAGTGCAGCCTTAAATGTTCAGAATGCAACAGGTTAACTCTTGTTATGTAATCTTTCACGTCTTTCAAAATTAAGCAGAATATGTTGGTTTGCCCCATAGTCATGCTTAAATGATTCTGAATTTTTGTTGTTTAAAATAAACATACATCAAACGGAGAAAAAGTAGAAAAAAAGACAGGATCATGATTCCTGCGCGAATATCAAAATAGTGTCCATTCTGAAATTCAGAATCAGTTCGTCATTTAGACAAAAGAACTCATCGATCTCAATATTGAATACACAAAGTGCAGAAATATGTCCACATCAGTTGTTTATATCTGTTTTTAAAATGCATAAGAAAAACAATCATACAGTTTACATATATAAAAACAAGAATGTGTCCATAGTACACGGATGCCCCACTCGCACTATCATTTTTTCTATGTTCAGTGGACCGTGAAATTGGGGTCAAAACTCTAATTTGGCATTAAAATTAGAAAGATCATATCATAGGCAACATGTGTACTAAGTTTCAAGTTGATTGAACTTCAACTTCATCAAAAACTACCTTCACCAAAACTTTAACCAAAAACTTTAACCTGAAGCGGGACAGACGGACGGACGGACGGACGAACGAACGAACGAACGAACGAACGAACCAACGAACGACCGGACGGACGGAAGAACGAACGAACGAACGGACGCACAGACTGAAAAACATAATGCCCATAAATGGGGCATAAAAAATTAATACCATGAGTCCGAAGCGCTTTTCTGGATTCACCTTCAAGGATGTATAAGATGCGAAACAGTTGAAGTAATAGCCAAATACATCTAAGCTCAACTTTGCCTGAGGGAGTTGAAATCTTAGTTTCTTAATAATTCATAAACTTACAAACGGACTACTCAGCTGAAGATACTCTAGGGAACTGATAGTCCACCGGCGGTAACGACCCAGTACTTTAAAAATGAAAACAACACTTACAAATTCCATGCATCCAAAGCGCTTTTCTGGATTTACCTTCATCAGGAACGCTCAAAGTCGAATATTTGAAAGCCAAGGATGTATAAGAACCGAATTGGATTCAGAAGACACTTATTGCTGTTAAAACGAAACGTTATGTAATGTATAGTCTAGGTAAATTAACTTAAAAGTACTTAGTTAATGTCACTGATATCCAATGTAAATGTACAATTTTACCTTCAAACAATTCGATGTATGTGTGTATAAAAGTTTTCATTTAATTGGAATTTTATACTGACAAGCATACGGTATTGTAAACAGACGATATTGGTTTTTCACAACTATTAGATTTTTTGTGAAGACAAAAACATGTCCAGTACATTTTTCTCTGTGTAAAACTCTTTTTGGGAATTGACCCATCATTCAAAAGGTAGTAAAGATGGTCCAACAGGATTCAGCCAAAGATTGTGTGATTTATGACTGTTATGACAGAGTTCTGTTTTCAAGGAACCAGTACTACTCTTAATTGTTATTCGTATATCATAGAGTATTGAAAGTAGTATATATTGCTTTTCAAACAGTTGACCTTTCAACACAATTGTAACTAGAAATAAGAAGATGTGGTATGAGTGCCAATGAGACAACTCTCCATCCAAGTCACAGTGTGTAAAAAGTAAACAATAATAGGTCAAGGTAAACTATTTTGCTGAGTGCGGCTGCAAAGTAAGGTTATTAATAAGGAAATCAATTGCAAATTCCTTCCACCTTAACTGGCCAGTTGGATGTTAAGTTTGGAGTCGTTTTAAAGTACATAAGTGTTAGTATCCATATTCTTCAAAACCTTATGATGACCATCGATTTTTAAATGTATAATGGAGTAGTTGAGTGCATTGTCAAACCATATTCTTTCAAATCACTCCTTTATGAAATAATATCGGCTAATCTTCTATACATTATAAAAATGAAACAAGTTGAAACTGATCTAAATGTTTTGTTTCTAGATATTTACTCGTGAAGTTTGTTTTCCTTTCTAATACAATACATATAATGGCTTGTTTTATCATTTTCTTATACATCCTGAAATATAGAAAATTTTCAACCTTTCATTTCAAAAAAGTTGTATTGCTTAAAATTGCTTTGATCTTTCTTCATAACAACACATATCTATTAATATCACTACAGGTCAGACAGTCGAAAAAGTGGGAGGGGAAAAGATCTCAATACAAATGTAATTATATTCTAATTTACTCGAAAATGAAATTCTATTCACCAAACAATTTTGATGCTGAATATTGAAAAATTATGTAAATGCACTGAATTTAAAAAGGTGACGTCTATAGTAATAAAGCATGTTGTTGCTGTGTTTTTAGTAAAATATTTACTGCACAAATATTGATACTTGTAGAATATTTTACAAATTAATTCATATGCAAAATCCTGTAGACCTTATCCCTATTTTTCGGAATCTGCTACACTTAACCCAAGAATTTGAGACACTTGAACTATTGATGCCATACAACAACCACTTTTCTTTTGTGGAGTAGGACAATTTTTCTTGTAACATTGAAATTTTACGGGAACTGCTGTGATGTCCAGTAATGGTGAATAAATAGCAATATATACAAATTTATTTATTTTGTAAAAAATGTATCTGTACTCCTAACAACAAAATTATTATATTTAAATTTACCTGAGAACGTTATATTTAACGCCATTTTGTCACAGGTTAGAGTTGTCTTTTTGACATTGTTCCTTCATCTTTTTTTATTAATATTGTATCTATATTGTGTTGTAGATCAAACTTATTCGTTCAGTGTATGTTTACTTGTTTTTGTTTATATGTCTTTTTGCTCAGTTAAGCCATTTCAATTGATAATTTATAGTGTGTCTTTTTATGTTGTAATGTTACACTACTGTTTCAGGTTAGGGTGAAGGTTGGCACCTGTTAAAACGTTAAAACCCGCTGCATTTGTATGAACCTGTCCTAAGTCAGGAGCCTGTTGTTAGTGGTTGTCGTTTGTTGGTGTGGTTCATAAGTGTTTCTCGTTTTTTATATAGATTAGACCGTTGGTTTTCCTGTTTGAATTGTTTTACACTAGTCATTTTGGGGCCCTTTATAGCTTGCTGTTCCTTGTGAGCCAAGGCTCCAAGTTGAAGGACGTACTTTGACCTATAATTGTTTACTTTTTATACATTGTGACTTGGATGGAGAGTTGTCTCATTTGCACTCATTCCACATCTTCTAATTTATATATAAGGTCTATATAACTTTCTACACTTGCTGTTATCATCATTATCTGTAAAACAACTTATTTAAAATACTGAAATGTATCTGTAACTAAATTTACACTTTCAAAGTCAAATATATTCCAGATACTGAAGCAAGGATCTTATACTTATAAAAATATGAAGATGTGGTATAATTGCCAATGAGACAACTCTCCACCAGAGACCAAATGACATAGAAGTTAACAACTATAGGTCACCTTACAAGGACAATAACTTCTCTAGGGGGTCAATTGGCAATTTCAACCAGATTAACTTATTTGTAGATTTAATTTGCTGAACATTTTTATCAAATATTAATGCTCTCTATCTTTGCTTCTGCAAATAATAAATAAAATGGGTAAAATAGTCATTTAGGGGCAATAACTCTCAAAAGGAGTTAGGTGACAATTAAAACCGTGTTGACTTATTTGTCGATCTTATTGTGCTTTACATCTTTGCTATTTCCAATTTTTCTCAATCTATAATGGTTTTTGCAATAAATGAAAAACAAGATAAAAACCACCTTGCAAGGGCAAGAACTCCTGTTAGAGGTAAATTATTTTGTTTGTCTAAGTTGACTTATTTTTAGTTCTTATTTTGCTGAACACTTTTGCATATTACAAGTTCCCTCTATTTATTATAGTTTGTGCAAAAAACACTAAAACGAGTAACATTTGTCTTTCAAGGACAATAACTCATATAAGGGGTCAATTGACGATTCGTTTATGTTGAATCATTTATAAAAAATTATTAAGTTAATACTTTTTTATAACGAAAACTTCTCTCTATCAACTAAAGTTTCCTAAAAAATATGCTGAAGGAGTAAAAATCATCACTTAAAGCAATAACTCTTATTAGGGTCATATGACGATTTCTGCCAAGTTAACTTATTTGTAGATATTATTGTTCCGGTCATTTTTACTGTTAAAATTTCTCTCTACCTGTTATAGTTTCAAGATAGTAACCAAAATCTGTGAATTTGCAAAAAATTGACATTTCAGGAGCAATAACTACAAAATGGTTTCAGAAAATTCCCTAGGAGATAACCAGTCAGATTTGCTCAAACAGCTTTGGATTATAAGATAGAAACCAACAACTGTATTTTACCGCTGTGTTCTATTTTTAGTAAGCAGCCAAGTTTGTTGATGGATCAAAATCCCGGTTATTTTTTTTCAATTTTAGGTACCCTGAGAAACATTCGGGTAAGTTTTGGTTACATTTGGCCCTGTAGTTATAAAGGAGAACATTTTATTTTCAAGTTTACGACAACAGATGGCTGAATTATGACAAGTGATGGCAAAAGCTCATATGGCCTTAAAGGCCAGGTGAGCTAAATTAAAGTGTTCCTATTTTTTCTTTTGCATACTGTATTCAAATTTCACTGATTTGAATAATTTTACATAAAATTTTCATCAATGCCTGGAAGCCATTACATAGGTTTTTTTTTTCTGAAAACACATAAACTTCCAAAACATCACTCAACTGACTATTTACTTACATAATTTGTTTAAATTCTCTAAAGAAAAAACTATAAATAATAAATACTTGAAAAGCAAATCAATATCTTCATAGTGTATAAACAATTTTATTGCATTTTCGAAAAAAAAGAATAATTTCTGTTTAGCATACAGTTTTTATAAAAATTTGTTTCATTATAAATAATAAAGTTTCTTGTGTTGTACCAATGACATTCAACTTCATTTATACAATGGACTAGAACTTAAGTACAGACTAACTGAATACACACTTTCAATAACACTGTTTCTCATTCATTCTGCATGTTAAATTACTATCATTTGTCTCAGTGTTATCTAACACCTGACAATAATGATTTGGTATTATAAACTTTGATCATTTCATCCCAACCACAATCCACTATCTGTCCTGGATTATGTAAATTATGGTCTATGCCGTAAACAAATTCTGTATGGTGTTCAATTGTCTCTAAAGGTGCAGAGTGAGTTATCTCCCATGTCCTGAAAATAAACAAAATATTACTTGTTAAAATAGAATTAAACAGGCCAACATATGGTCTTCAACAATTGACACATGTTTATTTTATATATGTCAAGCATTATATTGTTCTATCTTAGAACATAGGAAAGCAAACAATGAAATTAGTTTAGAACTTTAATAGAAAGTATGAAACACAATTCATTATAAAAGCCAATAATCATAAGGTCACTCTGCGTAATAAAAAAAGAAGAAAAAGGTAAACATCTCCATTTTGGATTTTCCCTGGAGTTTCCTTGGATTTCCTTGGAGTTTGGTATTTTTGTTATTTTACTCCTCACTAGTACAAAAGTTAATGCAATTCAAACTATTTTGAGGATTTTTTATTGATCCATTTTAACCATAAAATATAATACAGAATGCAAGATTTACACTTTCACAGTCATTCAAACACTAATTTCAGGTTTTAATGAAAACTTTTTACAAAAATAATGATTATCAGAGCAACTACTACCCTATAATTATATATTTGATATTGAATTATTTTTTTATTGTTTTGTAATTATTTTAAACATTCTAATATTTACATACTAAATAGTGTGTTTAAATTACATTGTTAGGCAATCTCTGATATTGAATTATATATATATATTTCTAAGTTTTTAAATACATAAACACTACTTTGGATCTCTAACCTTGACACTTCAGAATAAATTTACAATACATTTTGCTAAATGAAGGCTTTCATTTCAAATAAACAGAGGTTTATTATGTGCAAAGCTGTATTCCTCAGAGGTGAAATTACACCAAACAAAATGGATATTTGCCAAGAGAAATGATATACATCAACACCTCCTAATTTTTTGTCACAAAAGAGTTCATCAAGTGAATCTTATATAAGATAATTTTAAATCTTAAATAAGAAAATTTTACCATTATATATATTAGATCATAATTACATCTATAACTATGTTCCACAATGGGTAAACAAGTTTAAAAAAAATTAATTATAATCCAAAAGGATTAGTTATATAGATACATGTAACACATAATTATTTTGGCATAATCTGCTTTTTGTGAAATATTTGGTCTCTTGTAGGAAGAATATTGCAACTATTCAACATAAAAAAGGATTTCTTACCTGACAGTAAAATCATATGAACAGGACAGCAACAAATCTTTACTAAAGGGGGAAGTCTGAAAACAACAGTAAAATCATATGAACTTGACAGTAACAAATCTTTACTAAAGGGGGAAGTCTGAAAACAACAGTAAAATCATATGAACTTGACAGTAACAAATCTTTACTAAAGGGGGAAGTCTGAAAAATACAGTAAAATCATATGAACAGGACAGTAACAAATCTTTACTAAAGGGAGAAGTCTGAAAAATACAGTAAAATCATATGAACAGGACAACAACAAATCTTTACTAAACAGGGAAGTCTGAAAACTACAGTAAAATCATATGAACAGGACAGCAACAAATCTTTACTAAAGGGAGAAGTCTGAAAAATACAGTAAAATCATATGAACAGGACAGTAACAAATCTTTACTAAATGCAGAAATCTGAAAAATACAGTAAAATCATATGAACAGGACCGCAACAAATCTTTACTAAACACAGAAGTCTGAAAAATATTGTAAAATCATATGAGCAGGACAGCAACAAATCTTTACTAAATGGAGAAGTCTGAAAAATACAGTAAAATCATATGAGCAGGACAGCAACAAATCTTTACTTCAAATAGAAGTCTGAAAAAATACAGTAAAATTATATGAACAGGACAGCAACAAATCTTTACTAAATGGAGAAAGTATGAAAAAATACAGTAAAATCATATGAACAGGACAGCAACAAATCTTTAATAAATGGAGAAGTCTGAAAAATACAATAAAATCATATAAACATGACAGCAAAAAAACTTAGCAAAACCAAAAAGTCTAAAAAATACAGTAAAATCATATGAACAGGACAGCAACAATTTTTTACTGAATGGAGAAGTCTGAAAAAATAATGATAAGTCAACTTTTAATGTACAAATAGGTGTAAACAAATAGTATACCGGGTAGATTAAGTGGAAGCAAAACTGAAAAATTCAACTATATTCCATTTTATTCGAAACAGCTGAAAGACGATGATTGAAAAATAAACCCAATGAAATATAAAAAAAATATATTTAGGCTCTCTTGTTCAAATAGTCATAAGACTTATGATATGTCAAATATTACAAATTTGAAATCAAAAAGCTTTTATTCATGCTTTTAAAGTGAAACAAAATGTGGGAATAGTCTTAAAATTTGAGAGTACTTTTATGTCTACATAAAATATCTGGGACCAATTTTGATTATTGTCTGAGCAATTATTCTAAGTACATAATACCGTAATAACAAAAGTAGTTATTCTTAAAACCCTTCAGCTTTTTGGTGGCCCTTATCATATCACAACATAAGTATTAATGTGTTTTGGAGACTGATCTACTACAGTACTATTAAATGGGTAATGAATCATGCATTCACATATAAATAGGATCTTAACCACAAGTTGAATGTTGTAATATAAATGTCCATTATCCACATAAAAAATGAAAATAAATAGAAATTTACCTTAATCCTTCTAACCGCATACTGGTGTCCACGTAATTCACAGATTGGTCCTCTTGAGTTTCTAATGTCCCAACCTTTTATCAAACAATCTACACTACCAGTAAATACTATATTCTGATGAAACAAAGAAAATAAAGTCTTAAATGGATAGTTCTTGATATAGATACAGTAAGTGCAGAAAAATATTAATACACCAGACAGAAAAATTGAAACTATCCGTACCAAGTAGCCATTTCAGTATCAAATGGATTGTGGGTAAAATCACAATATGCTACTGAAGGTTTTGAAAATATTACACAGAATGCTTTACATTCTGAAACATTGAACTTGTCTAACTGTTTTAAGGATGTACTTAGGTGAGGTTTAGGAATTTTTGTCAGATGTTCGGACTCCTTGGTTTTTTCCCTACCATACAGGGTAAAACATTTTGCCCCATAACACCCAATTTTCTTTTCATATAAGACTTCAAAAGCTCATAATAGGTCATTTACCAAAATTTAAGCAGATTCTAGATTTCTTTTCTTTCGATTTGAGACCCAAATAATACCAATGCAAATATAAGGTAAAAGTCAGAGTCAGCCGTTTCCCGCCATTTTAAAAAAAAGAAATATCTCGAAAAGTAGCTCCATAACCTATCAATATCTTTTAGCTTATTTTGTTCCTTAACTAATGCTCTTCTGACTTATAGTATCAATTTTAAAATTCTAGATTTTTTTAATTTCACCTAAGTACATCCTTAAAAACAAATCCTAGTTCAGTCAGCTTTAGTTTGGTTTTTAAAGTAGGTCATCTACCTTAAAATGTCATAAATTATGGAACTTACAATGCAATCACCTTATCTTATCGTGAATCAGACTGTAGTGCTTCCTTAAAACTAGATGAAATACTGTATGGAAAACCAGGTTAGACATAGTTGAGATATCAACCCAATTCCATGTTTTAATTGGGAACTACATGTACTATGAACAATTAAACCAAATAAACATAAAATTGTTCAATAGATTTGAAGTTCTTTTAAAGGTTTGTCTTGTCGTACCTTGACCTATAATGGTTTACTTTTATAAATTGTAGCTTGGATGGAGAGTTGTCTCATTGGCACTCATACCACATCTTCCTATATCTATTGTCTGAAAACTTAATAATACATGTAGCAACAATTACTGTGTGACCAATATAAGGGAGATAATCACAGTAAAAAAGACTATAAAATGTACTTTTTGGTTGAAATACAATGTAATTTTCATTTTTTGTTATTTTAAACCTTCATGCAACTATTTAAATAAAGGATGATATGTTTTTAGTACCTTTTTTTCAGTATAAGAGTATTTTAAGCCATATTTGTCCCATTTTACAGGTCCATTGTGTTTATTAAACACTAAGTTAAAAAAAAAACCAGACATTAGTTCTAGTCATAGGTATATAGACTTTTTGTGATACAAATCATTAAGGCCTTTTGACAGTTTATTGAATGGTTGTTATTCCCCCAAAAGAGTAAAGGGACCCCAGCATAGATGAGGTCCATACAGTTTTTGGATGATGACCAAACAGTTAACTTATCTACATATAATTATTTTTTATCTCACACTGAAGGTTAATGTGTTCGAACAAAACCAAAGGTTTCATTTTACCATACAAATGAAATATATTTTAGAGCTATATCTATGTATCAATGATTAATTAAAATGGCACAAAACTATTCAAAACATTAACATATAATTGCGCTATTGTGGAAAACATAGAGAGTAGAATAATATTGTCATCTTGAAAATATGCTATCATATTTACTGGTAAATACATTTTAATGTTCAGCACAAAATTGTGAATTCGTTTTCAAAACATTTCTCTGTTAATATTCATGATGTCACAGAACAATTTAATCAACAATATATGATATATGGACTGGCTCACGTTAAAAACATAAATAGGAGCAATATATATGTAGGACTCAAATCTATGGTGAGTTCCAGATCTATGGCAAATTCCTAATGCTGTTACCTGATCATATTTTGACCAATCACAAGTAAGAATTTCAGCATTGTGTGCAGGAATAACATTTGAAGGAAATTCAGGTTTTCTGACATCCCATATTCTCAGTGTTTGATCTCCTGAAAAGAGATAAATATCTTTAAACTAAAATAGAAAATGAAAATACTATTATATTTGAACTATTGTTTTTAGTTGTTCAAAATTAACTTTGTGCCTCTTAGTTCAATTTCAGTTATACTTCACTGGTTATATTTGTGTTGTACCAAAAGAAGATACCACTTACCCGGTACCCATTTGTTTTTTCAATGAAATGACAATTTAGAATATAGCATTTATTAGGTTATAGTTAGAGTTTTATTATAATTATTAAACTTATTAAAGCAATAATTCAAAATAAATAAAAATGAAAGATACTTAAATACATCATTGATTGTCTTATCCTGAGAACCACAATTGAAATATGAGCTTCCAATAACATTTCAACAACAATTATAAAATTTCCTTCATACTATTTTCTGTTAATGTTGTTTTTGTAACCTTAATGCTATCTATGATATAAATATATAAACCTGAAGCAGAAGCAAAGCATCCTGGGATATGAGGAGACCATCTGACAGAATACACAATATATTCATGTCCTGAAAATGTAGCAAGTGACTGTGTCTGACTAATATCCCACTGAAAAGTAAGAAAAGATGATATATATCCGGTGGAGGAAATTTTAACGCATTGATAGGACATTTTAGCAAAATAAGTCACATGTTTGAACGAGAAAGTACTAATATATATATATATAGTATAACCCATTTTAGCACAAGATTTTTAACCCATTTTAGCCAAAAGTGAAACGACCAATGCCCATTCTAGTGCAAGATTTTTCACCCAGAACACGACAGAAATCATTAAAAAAAAATAATAAATTTTAATAAAATCAAGAAAGCACAGTTTAAAAAATATCATGTCCATTTAAATACAGCACTAAAAAGATTGAAGGTAAACACAAATGTTACAAGTCTGTTTTAGGCTGGAATTTATATCATAGAGACCGTACGTAATGGGCTTTTGATATACCCCTGTACAATACTGTTCATAAAATTGCAGTAGGAACTGTTCCTTCTCTTTCTCTTGTCTAGATTGAGATGCACATAAATTACTATTCATGGTTTTTGTTTGGTGAGTATTATTCAATCAGGTATAAAGTTTTAGATAAAATGTGCTATCGAAAATACAGGTGAACAGATTAATCCCGTGCTAAAATGGGCTATAATGTCTGCGGTAAAATGTTCCCTAGTAGTTCAAAATTTTTCATCAAATAGTGAACCACACAGGTTTTTGGATCACCAGTTGAATATTTTTCTGCTTTTGAATTCTTGGATTAATTATTCTATTCATTACACTGGCAATTAATGGAATTTAAGAAAAGAAAATGCAAGAAATTTTATCTTTAATCTTAGACATTCTTGCTTCGTTTTCAACTTTGTTGACAAGGTCATCACAACAGCTATGTATATGTAAACAAATTATATCTTGGTGTGATTAATTGTATAATCTACATGTGTTTCTGTAACATCCAATCTGTGAAGTAGGATAGACTTATTTTTTATATTCCTACAATAAAAAAAAATTGTAACAAAACATCTTTGACATTAAGAGACAAGTATCCATGATATATTAATTGGTTATTTCTGCCTACACCAAAGCTCTGAGATGAAATGCATCCCAATTTCGAGCCCCTATTGATTTGTATTTCAAAATTTTACTTACCTGAAAGTTTATGAAATAAGCAAATTTTGAGGCAGGAATGAATTCATTTGTAAGATTTTTCATCTAAATGAAGAAAATTATGGGACTTTAATCCTATTATTACAACTATTTTACAAATAACGAATATTTTTTGATTGATGCAAAATTTGTTTAACTGGAGCCGTATAAGGGGAGATAACTCAGATAATTTAAATTTATATTGTATAATCAATTTTTCGGTTTCGTATTGTAGACTATAATTTTTATTAGATTTTTGAAAATAAAATGATATAAACTACATTTTGGCAAAGTACAAAAAATTTGTGTCAATCATTCTTTTATTCTCCCATACTTCCTTAAAATATAATAACGTTATTATTTAAGCACTTTTTGATTATTTGAATACTATCATTAGTACTTTTCAGATTAAGAATCATGAAAGAGACTCTGAAACTAATTTTTGAATTAAGAACTTCCCCTTTCAATGCATTAATACAGGTATTGTGTAATGCAGAGTTACTATGAGGAGAAAATTTATGTGTAACCTTGATAGACAATGTTAGATGTATGATGAATTACAAGTTTTTTTCAGAAGGAAAAGGGCTAGATCAATAACAATGAAATATTCCATGCAAGGTAATGTGAATCTAAATACATGTAAGTTGTGACAATGATTCAAGTATATACAAGTGAAATAGTTGTTAATTTTAAAGTCAATTTATGGTATAGATTAAGTAGGGCTATAACATATAAACATCAATATTCATTGTATTGTAACACAAAGTACATAATAATTGCAAGGCCTATTCTTGTAATATACACACCAGTTTAATAAGTTTATCCCATGAGCCACTTAAAACAAAGTTTTCATTTCTTGTCTGACTCCAATGTACTGAATAAACCTAAAAAATAAGGCAAGCTATATATATTAATTAAGGTAAATTGTATAAGGATTACACAGTTACAATTTATACCACCTTTTTTAAGACAATGAGGTACATCAATTCTGGTTAACATTACAGTTTAACACAGTTAATAGATAATTGCAAAACCATGGCATACACAATTCTATGATATCACATTAATTTGCCCATGGAGTCATGAAATTTGTGCTGTATACAGGAGGAGGCACGATAAGATAAGAATCTTTATCTTAAATTGCAATGGTTTGCTTCAGCTAATCATAGATATGCTTCTGGTAATGTTTCACAAAATTCTATTAAGGTTAGAAAGTGTTGATGTCTTAAAAACTTAAGCCCCAGACATAAAAAATAAAATTCAAAACTTTGCTCAAGATCCTATCTCTCGATACATGTGATAATGAAGAAGCTTCTGTCAAACTTTCATAAAATTCTATGCAGATTGGAAAAAAAAACATTCATGTCTAAAAACTTTAACCTGAGATTGTATCTAAATGTTAAATGCAAAAATACTAAGTCTATTTATCAGTAAAATACAGAAAAATTAAAACAATAATTTCAAAATTTTGCTTTGAATGCTGTCTATGATCATGTAGTCGAAGCCTTGTTGAAGTTAAATAACATTTCTTGAAGGTTTGACAAAGTTATTGATGTCTAAAAAAAGTTTAACAAGTATGTTTTTCTATTTCATGTACAATTTTCTATTTCATGCACATATATAAAAAAGAAGATGTGGTATGATTGCCAATGAGACAACTCTTCACAAGAGACCAAATGACACAGAAATTAGCAACTATAGGTCACTGTACGCCCCTGTATGTTTTCTATTTCATGTACAATTTTCTATTTCATGTATATTTTTCTATTTCATGTACAATTTTCTATTTCATGTATATTTTTCTATTCCATGTACAATTCTCTCTTTCATGTAGCATTTTCTCTTTTATCATTATCATGATTATGTATCATTTTCTCCTTTATTTGCTTTTCCATGTATGATTTTTTTTCATGTACCATTTTCTCTTTCATGTACGCTTTTCTTTTTCATGAACATTATTTTATCTTTACAGGACATACTACTGTAATAAGTTTTCGTGTAAAATTATTTTTCATGTTCTCATCGTGAGCTTATAACAATTATGACAGCTCAGTTGCTGATATTCTATATGTTTTGTACAGTGGTAATTAACTTTTACATTTCCCTGATAACATTTCCTGTATAAAAAATATTTGTTCTATGTTGAAGATCTTATGGGGATCAATGTTTATTGGAAACTTTTGTTTTAGGATTGTTTTTCATTGATTATTACAACACATCTGCTTTTATTTATATCTTGACATTTCTGTTTGTCTATATTTTATATGTTCACAATTTTTCATCATTTCTATAGACTTATTTCATTACTTTATAACCAATGTAACTACCTCTTTTGTATGTTCTTTGTATGCTTTGATAGGACCCTGCAATGGAAAAAATTCTTCAACATATATTCAGTTTAAGAATGATTTGATTAAAATATATATCAACGTATGACAGTAGTAGTTAGCATAAAACGCACCTAGAATAACAAGAGTGCACACGCTGAAATGTCTCGCCTTCTTTACTAATCATTGATATTATGTTGAAAGTCCTAAATATAAAGCTTTATTACAACTGTCACATAAACTTAACATTAACCAAGTAAACTAAACATTGACCAATGAACCATGAAAATGAGGTCAAGGTCAGATGAACCATGCTAGGCAGGCATGTACAGCTAACAATTCTTCCATACAACAAATATAGTTGACCTATTGCTTATAGTTTAAGAAAAACAGACGAAAACACAAAAACTTAACACTGAGCAATGAACCTTGAAAATGAGGTCAAGGTCAAATAAAACCTGCGTGACTGACATATAGATCATAAAATATTTCCATACACCAAATATAGTTGAACTATTGCATATAGTATTAGAAAAAAAGACCAAAACTCAAAAACTTAACTTTGACCACTGAACCATGAAAATGAGGTCAAGGTAAGATGACACCTGCCAGCTAGACATGTACACCTTACAATCATTCCATACACCAAATATAGCTGACCTATTGCATGCAGTATTAGAAAAAAAGACCAAAACTCAAAAACTTAACTTTGACCACTGAACCATGAAAATGAGGTCAAGGTCAGATGACACCTGCCAGCTAGACATGTACACCTTACAATCATTCCATACACCAAATATAGTAGACCTATTGCATACAGTATAAGAAAAACAGACCAAAACACAAAAACTTAACTATAACCACTGAACCATGAAAATGAGGTCAAGGTCAGATGACACCTGCCAGTTGGACATGTACACCTTACAGTCCTTCCATACACTGAATATACTAGACCTATTGCTTATAGTATCTGAGATATGGACTTGACCACGAAAACTTAACCTTGTTCACTGATCCATGAAATGAGGTCGAGGTCAAGTGAAAACTGTCTGACGGGCATGAGGACCTTGCAAGGTATGCACATACCAAATATAGTTATCCTATTACTTATAATAAGAGAGAATTTAACATTACAAAAAATCTGAACTTTTTTTTCAAGTAGTCACTGAACCATGAAAATGAGGTCAAGGACATTGGACATGTGACTGACTGAAACTTCGTAACATGAGGCATCCATATACAAAGTATGAAGCATCCAGGTCTTCCATCTTCTAAAATATAAAGCTTTTAAGAAGTTAGCTAACGCCGCCGCCGCCGCCGCCGCCGTAGCCGCCGCCGCCGCCGCCGGATCGCTATCCCTATGTCGAGCTTTCTGCGACAAAAGTCGCAGGCTCGACAAAAATCATGATGGCAGGTATGAAAAATACTTGTAAGTTGTACCCCTGACTGTACTTTTAGTTTTCTACAAACATGACAATGTGTTTTTTTTTTCACTTAAGCTTGTTCATATTTCAAATGTTTTCATACAAAACAACAATGTGTGTTAATTTGTACATGTTTATATGTGTATGTGTTATGAATGAGAATGTAATGTGTATTGTTGTCATTATGTCCCTTTGGGTGACCTTAATTGAAAATAAAGAACTTTGAACTTTGTACATTCATGACATTCAGAAACAGTAACTTGTGGATCAATGCAATATCTTTTCTGAATGATTGCTTATGTCTTCTGTGTCATGAAAATTAAAACAATGTTTTTCACTATCAGCAATTGATTAGGAGTACATACTAACTTCAACAGGTATTTTTACTTTTGATTTTAAAACATACAACTATATATTAAAAATAACTTTTGGTTGTGAAGAATTCGGTTTTCAGGTTCCAACAATGCCATGTATGTAAACTTACTCTTGGTTGTGAAGCATCCCACACAACAATTCCACCATCACCAGATGCAGTTACAAGTACATTTTCATTATTCTCTGCCCAGGTCACATCAAACAAGCCATCATTCCAGTCAAACACTACAGTAGGAACCAGTCCATTTGGGGTCTGGTCTATGATAAAGAGTGTACCATTCCCTAAAGTTGAGACAGGAAAAAATGAAAATAAAAAAGGATTGAAAAAAAGATCTTAAAAGGGGAACACAAATTCCTCTGCAGCAATACAGGATTCACAATATACCATATTTATATTACTTCAAAAATGTTGAGATGGGGAACTGAAATTCCTTAATCATGTTAATTTTTAGTTTTTCTTCTATTCACACTAGTATGATGCTTTTTCTCTGTATAATCCACAGGCACTTGTCTCTTTAAAAAAAAAAATACCTATATGCATGTACATCATGTACATTAATAGTTATACTAAAGTATATAGGTTTTTGTTTTTTTCATAGACAAGTGCCTGTGGTATAATCTATACAAAATGTGTAATTTTTTTCACCTTCTTCTTCTTCTGGTATACAGTTACAAATTCATAACATTGAAGATTACGTACTGTTTGCATGCCTAGGGAATGTAAATAAAAAAATATCAAAGAAAAGTGCAAAAGAATAATAATACATATTTTGAGAATTTGTTTTGGTGTTTGTTGGAATTAGTGCTATTGATGGTATTGCAATCAGTCTACATACAACTCTGTAAAACTTAAGTCTAGTTTTTAGATTGTCTTCAAAAATACTGAATTCCATCAAAGTTTTTGACGATTACTTTCCGGTGCATGCCTGTATGAGGTTGCTTTAAGTTAATTACAATTTTGCTTTTATCTATGAAATTTACAATTTTTATTAAACTTTTAAATTTTTTAAAACGGACTCTATGGGCGAACAGACTCAGGGCGAACGGACCCAGGGCAAACGATCCGATACCCTCCCATGCTGCTGGATAACTCGGACTAAAACAAAATCGGCCTATCACAAACTCGGACTATAACAAACTCTGCCTACCATTATTTATATGCGGAAATATATTGAACAAACTCGGACTACGATTAGTAGATTGTTTTGTGGGTTTTTTTTCTCACTTTAATAAAAAACAAACTTGATATATAAAACTTATATATGAATTTTGAGATTATGATAAATATTTTTGAAAAAACAATGTATAGAAATGTATTAAAATAAACTTAGCATATTTATTCTAAAACCAGTTGTTTGCATGACACGGGTTATGTTGACTTCTCATATATTTTAAGATGGTATAATACTATTGAAGACCCATTGGTGGCCTTCATATAATTACAGGTAGTTTTGTTCTCACTTGGGTGATTAAATAGGTGTCAATTAAGTACACGTGTCAGTTGTTAGTTTAAATTATGGTGATTAAAAAGGTGTCAACGATACACGTGGCATGATGTCATATTACCAGTTGAATCAATTAAGATATGCATATGATAAATTATTTTGAGAGGGACATTATTACAAATTATAATACAGAAATACAAATCAGTGGTTAAGATTTTCATTATTAAATGAATGTATTCTTAATTTTCTTTTTATACATATCTTGTTAACTCATTTATATTACTCGCTTCTAAAATGTTCAAAATAAATTATTTAATTATTAAATTGTAAATCATTATTAATTTCAAATTAAGTATTGATTATTAATTTCCAATAAAAACAGAATCAAACAATATACATATATTCTTCTAGTAGTCTGAGTTTGGTATAGTCCGAGTTTGTTATAGTCCGATTTTGGGAGGCCGATTATGTTATAGGCCGAGTTTGTTATAGTCCGATTTTGTTATAGGCCGAGATATCATGGAGTCCCCTCCCATACCATCTTTTTTAAAAATAAAAAAATGCTTGCCTGCAATTCCATAATATTGTGATGAGGCACATGCAAATCTATGTTGAAAATATGGAGAAAATTCTACAGAGTATCCATGCCTTCCTTTAATTTGAAGTGACATTTACATTTTTTTAACCTAAAGTACACATCCCGAAAAAAATCCTTTCGGTCTAGATATTGACCTCTATAATGAGAGAAGATTATTTTACGACATTAAAGGGAATTTTTTTATTGATTAATATTCAGATAAATCAAACATTAATATATGAATATGTTGATTAGGTGACACACTGATACTGAGACTATTATATTTTGTCATAGACTGATAAAAATACGAATGTCTTTGAGTTTTGCGACACTGCCATAATTCGACAGACAACATTGCCCGCCATTTTTACAAGTGACAGCTACAGTTTACATCAAAAATGCGTAACAAATATCATTTACCCTAGGTTGTAAAGAAACAATATTGAGAATGGACACAACAACTTCGCATTTCCTTCCTTCAGAAATAGCGAGATTGGTATTAGGTGTGTAAAATAAGCAAAAACACAAGGCTTGATAAGTTGCGTGATATTTTATAACATTTGTCATTTATGCAGATCACAGACAAAAAGTATGTAACGCATCAAAGGAATTTAATATGAGGCAGGTGCTACCTGATGAACACCAGAAGGTTACTTTTCAGCAATTGGGTATACAAAAAAAAAGTCAAATATAAAAATGGTATGCCTTATATGTCCTTATATTATAGCCTATAGGATGAAACAACCCACTTCCAAGGATATAACTGTATAAAGCAGGGCGCAGGTCGTTTAGTAACCTGGTCGTTTCGTAACTAGTCGATTCGTAACTTAACTAGGTCGTTTCGTACCTGAGACGTTTTGTAACCGTATATCAATATATAATAACAATAAGAGTAGTAGGTTACGTAAAAAGTAATAAAAAGACTTATTGATGTATGTATATATATATATCTATATTTATTTATTAAATAATTGATTGCACATAAATTTACACTTTACTAGTACAGTTTTGCACACATGCGAATAGAACAGAAGAATTTTGAATTGTCCATCATCATTTAGATGTACCACGTCTTTATCAAAGTATTTAGTCTTCTGCCACGTGCTTTGATGTCTCCGATACTTGACACCACTCATCTTTATGTTGCTTAATTAGTTCTTTATTTATCTTTTTTTTTTCTATCATAAGTTGTTTCTTTCATGTTTCTTGATCAAGTTAGTATCCGAAGGTAAACTAAAAAGATATCAGCGTGTTAGGTTTTTCGGATGAAAAATCAGGCTTTATGCCAGTATAAGCATGCAAACAAAGGACAACATAGTGATGTATCTGAAAGAAAGAAAAAGAATAGAGTAAGATAAAGTGTTCTTAAAAAAAAACTTTAACTCCGCCAACGCCGGTCCCCAGCCAGGGTGAAAAAGGAGGAGGGTTATGCAATTGCATGTAAAAGTGAAAAAAAGGAGAAAATAATTATGTTTTTTCAGGTCGTGTGCCATTAATCTACTTAATCACTTGACATCTACTGTAATTACTTTTTATTACCTGTCATTAGTTGTCATAAAACCATTAAAGCTGTCACCGAGCGTAATTACCAATTAGCAAATTAGCCAATAATTAAAAAGATTTAAGAAAGTTTTAAATTAAAAATATTACAATATTGTTATTATTAGATGAACAATTTGATCATTTTTAAATAATAACTTTAACTTTTTCATTTAAACTAATTAATTTAAACTAACACGTTATAACCATATATAATTACACCAGGTACGAAACGTCTCAGTTACAAAACAACGTAGTTACGAATCGACCAGGTACGAAACGACCAGGTTACGAAACGACGTGCATTCATAAAGCATAATTTCCCGTTAACACTTCAGCAAGTATTTTATAAATTTAGGGCCAGGTCAGAAAATGAGGGATTTTGTCCTGGTTTGATGAAAAATTGGTTATGATGAAGTAAATCTCATTTATTCTTTGTTAACCAACACAAGTAGAAATCGTGCAGTATGTTAATAAGCGGGTGGATACCGAAAGGTAATTTCACAGTTGTCTTTGACCAAGGTAAATTTAAAACAACATTTAAGTCAACTACACCTGTAAATTACCACAAAGTAATGGTTTATTCAGGTCAGCAAGAAGCCACGCTTGTTGGCGAAACTTGTTGAATCCGTTTGCCCAAATTCACATTTGAACCCCACACGTTCCCACCCTCGGGTCCGTTAATACCCCTTTTATTGGTTTTGTGTTGAATACATTTTTAATCATGTTTAAGTTAGTGTATTCCTATAAATAATTTTTTTTTTTATTGTTTCCTCAATATAAAGTGACATTCTTAAAACATAAACAGGTTTTCTTTAGTGTTTTATTCATTATTTTGAAGAAATGAATCATGAATGAAAGCTTTTTCCCCTAGAGAAAATTCCCAATTACTAAAAAAAATGGCTTAAAATTCCTACCATTAAGTTTTACATTTTTCCCAAAAGTGATGGCATTGGTATTAATGAATGTAAATTTCGTATCATGTTATTATTTTGATATCATGAAAGCGCTTTTGAGATCCAGGTTTCTGATCAGAATCGTCACGGTGTTTGTAACACGTGGTTTTCAATGGATTAAGTACCATCATTGTTTCCGTCTCTTTCCCCTCCCCAAAAAGTACCTTTCAGGTTTAAATAGCTGACAATAAAAATAAACGTGATAAAACTGTGCAAAAAAGACAGTAAAGTTTAGCAAAAAATCAGAGATGTGTTTAAAAAAAAATAAACCAACTTCCCAATTTCAATAAAAATTATGCATTTTTCCCCCCAAAAAAACGGTAGAGGTAGTTTTGAAAAAAGACAACAATATCACTGGTAAATCTTGTTTGATGAAATTATATATGGTGAACCAACACCTCAAGTAGGAATCGTGTGGTAGGGTAATAAGTGGGTGGATACCGAGGGGTAATTACAGTTGTCTTTCACCAAGGTAAAATTTAAAACAACATTTAAGTCAAATACATGTACACCTGTAAATTACCTCGAAAATTATTCAGGTCAACAAGATGCCACGCTTGTTGGCGAAACTTGTTGACCTGAATAAACAATTACTTAGCAGCAATTTACAGGTGTTGATTTTAATTTAGTGTTATACTTAACAAGTTTTTGGGTGAAGAAGACTTCTAAAATCATTGAACCTTTTCCAGAAGTATTACTGTATCTCATTTTGTGCTTAACAACTTTATAACTTACATGTCTCATCTTGACACTGATTTGTACGCATGATTGGTTGCAAGGTTGAAAAATAGGTCTGCATCATTTTATGAAACAGACGGATAAATAAATGTACAGTTTCGTTCAAAAAACAATCTGTAACGTTAGTTTTTCTAGATTCTCATGTTTTAATATATCCATTTTTATTTACATTAATTTTTATATTCCATCTTTATACTTATCTTCAATCATACGTAATTAGAAATTTCAATTTACTGTAACGAGATGTATTTAAAATAGATTTTTTTTTAGAATGCATGCGTTGATTAAGTTTGAAAGTACAGTGACAATTTGGCCTGACCACTACTCGATCCTTTTTATATAACTCAAATATTTAAAAAAATTGATGCATGAAATGCAACCATAAACCTGATATAAAAAGTTTCACACTCAAAAACATTCGAACAACTGTTAACAACTCCCATGACGAAATGGATTATAAAGATAAAAAAAAATCATGACCTACTGACCCTATTTTAGGGGGGCATGCAACCAGAAATACACCTATTTTTTTTTTACATAATTCCTAAAATGCATGCCATGCCCAGTCATAATGACTTGCATTTCAATCCTTTTCAAGTACAGCCTTGTATGCATTAAAATGTTTATGCTTAAAACCAGGCAGGCATTAAAACAATGTTATTTTTTGTAGGTTATCTGGAAAATGAAGGATACACATCTACATATAAAACATTTATGAAAGAATGCATTCATCTACAAGAGTATGTGGCCTTAATGAAGAGAGGAAGACATTATCCTCTGACGATAAGTGGATTTACTCTTATACAAATTATTGAGAAATTTGCACAGTTTTATTTAGTAGGTAAGTGCTGTGCATGAGTACTATACAGGTATCAATTTTGATATAAAATAACCACACACATTTATTTAGCTGAGAATCCATCATTCATACAATGTATTGTCATGACATAAAAAAATTTGTCTCATTTTTGACTTTTCCAAACCATATGAATAAATGGACATTTTTGGTAAATTTCAATGTGACAGTAACCTAACTACACACATTTTGCATGATGTAGATGAATATTATAATCACATTAATGAATGAGTAAATTTAAAACTTTGCATTTCACTAATATGTAATACAGCATACAATTTATGTTTTAATTGTTCCTATATATAATTATTTGCTCATATATATGCAGCTCATGTTGATCTACAATGTAAGTAGGTTTAAAGGCAAGGTTTAGTTCATTACATATATAAATAGGAATCACACTGTCCCTCTGTCTGTCTGTCCATATGCCTTATTAGCATAAGTCCTCCTAAATTTCTAGACAGATATTAATGAAACTTGGCACAGTTGTAGAACATGTTACACTACCTGAAAATTTGATGTGGCTTAGAAACATCCTCGGGTTTGAAAGACCATCAATAATCTGTTAATCGCTATTTTGCCCATGAAGTCGTTGATGTTTACATAGATAATGACACATGCAACCATAGTTTCTAGCGATAATTTTCTATTGCAAGCGAGTAGCATGATACATTTATGAGAAAGTATCACAAAAAAAGATAAAAGGAAAAATACACTAATAGCGATAATGTTTTATATCAGTGTTTACATCGTTCAGGTCTGACACAAAATATGTTGAATATGGCATTTTAGAGTCCAATAGGTTATTTTGACCTTTTTATAAATTCCTTGTAACATCCCAAATGATATTTCTACACTGAAAATATCTGAATTCATTTATCAATCAAATATCAGAATTTTTAATTATCAACTGATTATGACTCTTTTCACACTCCTTCTTATACACAAATAATTCATAAAAATTCACTAAGAAGCATTAAAACTGATCAAAGCATTATATTTGTATAGATGTTAACAATCAGAAAGTTGGATTGAATGCCTTATGGAATCAGCTTGATTCAGTGACTGCTTGTTTGAAAAGAGCAACTTTAAACAAAAATTTACGAGTAGAAGGATGTAGTCAAACCTCTCGCACAAGACGTGCAAATGTCATAGCGAAATATGGAGTTAACGAGAAGGGGGATAGTGGAAGAACAGGTGTTGTCAGTGCCTCAGACTTAAAGATATCTGCTCAAAGGTCACAGAAAATTATACAGAATAGAACAATAGTGCCTATTGAATGCTCAAATGAAAGATTACCTGTACCTTTAAGTACATTATCAGTACCTAAAGAGACACCTAGAAATGCAAATGAAGGTCAAAATGAAAAGTTATTACCAGAAGTCCAATCCCAAGAAAAACATACAAGTAGTAATAGTACTCAAATTCTTATATTGAAAAGTCCTTCAAAAACAGTAAAACCTAGTCAAATTTCATTTCCTGTTATTATACCGTCTGCTCTTTCTTCCTTTCATTCCACAAACGAAATATTACCGACAGACAATATCACCTCAAGTTGTATTGAAGGGGGTCAAGTTGTACATGAAAGTAGTGAAATAGTTTCAACAATAAAAAATACTGTACAGACAAATTGTGTGCCATCAGAAAAAGACAATCTATTTAATCGTGTTGATGATGATAATGGAGCTGGTTTCCATGATGATATGGAATGTGACACTCAGTTGTCTCCCTTACCTGAATCATTAAGAAAGAATGTTGTTATAGAAAAAGATCATGAAGATAGTTCAAGGGAAGTAATGCAAAACTCAGTCTGTGATAGAACAAGTATGGAGAATTCAGCAGCTTGTGAAACAGGGAACCAGGACAATCATTCTGATGTAGGAAGTAAGGAAAATTTGACTGCTAATAATACAATAAACACTGCCAAACAGATTACTTTAAATGATGCTGAAATATTGATAGTTTGTGATAAAACTAGAAGAGAAAATTTGACTCATAGTAGTGAGAATTTGTCAACAAGTTCATTGAGTTTACCAGTTGGTGAAAAATTAAACAGAGTAAGCTTGTCAACTGAAAGAATGGAAACAGAACTGTCATCCTCTCTACTACAGACACAAAATAGCAGAGATATAAGTGGTATGGATGTATAATTATTATATATTGAACTAGTTTTATCAATGTTTATAGTAGAAAAACAAAGGATATGGGGTATCCATCCATGACACAAAATCAGTACAAGTACAGCAAAAACACAAAAAGCAAAGGAACAGTGCTTTTATAGCTGTTCTTCATCTCAAAGTCACAGTGAGGCCTTTAACACAGAGCCCAAAAACTCTCACCTCACTGCAAGTTTAAGACGGCCCCTAGCACCTGTGAGCAGAATTCTTTGTAAGATGTTACACCACCAAATCAGGCTCTGGCCAAAAAAGAACATACTGGAAAGTAGTACATATTTAAAATAAAACAGTTTCTATGCATAGGTTTAAATATCAAAGGATGTAGAATATAAGTAATTAAGGTATCAAATGAAAGGTGAAGGACATATTTTTTAGTTTGATATTTGATGATATTGAGTTCTCATAAAATTTAAGTAGAGTCAGATTTATATGAAGGTATTCAAGGTCTTCCATAGTCCATCAATCTTGCATTGAGGTTTGCATCTACAAAAATGTATTTATCTACAAATGGAACTTTCTTTATAAGTCTAAAAAAGTTTTAAAGAGCACATGTATTATACAGTTTATTGATTAAATAGTGGTCACATTTTGATATTTTAGAAAGGGGATTAACTATTTTTATCTCTACAAAATAAATTTCAGTTCATAGTTTTGTACATGTGATATTGATCTAGTACAATCCAGGGTTCTAAATCAGACCACAATATGGTGACAATTAGATGTGAATGTTCATATGCATTTACTTAATAATTGCCACTGGACATTAGGTTTCCATAATCAAGCCGTGATAAAATACACACGATACATAATTACCATTGGAGTCTGTAATAAATTGGAAAATCACAATACTGAAATAAATTTTTCAAGGTGATAAAACAAAAGCTTAAGATATCTAGAACAAATGTACAAAGAGAAAACTTGAGTTCTATAAAAAGAAAATATGTACATGTATCTGAGTACATTTATTTCAAATGAGATTTTTCAAGATATCCTTTATAAGGTACTTTTTTTTATCAATAATTGAAACCAAATACACATACATGTACAATGATGTAACCTGTATTTAACTTGAAAAAAATATATATTCATTTATTTTTACGTTCTATATTTTGGTAGGTTTTTTTATGTCATTAAACAAAAATACTGAATATTTTTTCTTTTAGATACAAGTAGTAAGCCAAATGATACAGTCGGTGAAAACAAAACAACAGATATTGTCTTGTATAGAAACAATCAAGTTCAGGAAACCACAGAAGATATTGCTGTAATTAGGCTTCCAGATGTTCAGACAGAACTTGGTGACTCTGCAGTTCCAGTCACTCCTAGGAAAGTTGTACCTCCAAATGACTTGCCTATAATGAAAACACCAGGGAAAAAATTAAGAGAATATGGACTACAAGGGCAAGGAAAGTCTCCCAGAAGAAAAAGGTTTGTTTATGCTCACAAATTTATATGCACAAATTCAGAAGAAAAAAAATTTTCTAAAAAATATGTACTTTTGATCAGCATTTCTATCATGTCTATAAAACATATGCTATAAAAATCTGCTTATGAATGATTGCTGGGTAGTTGTTTCCACCAAATCTTTAGAAGTGTTTAAGATTTTGAATTAATTTTATTAGGGATTATTTTGGCTTGTAAAAAATGTCTTCTGACCTCCCTCCCTGACCTACACTCATACATGCCTACCCCCTTTTATTTTTACATTAACCAGGTGTGTAAGGGTACACCTGTTTGTGTGTACATTCACCAGGTGTGTAAGGGGTACCCCCTTTTGTGTGTACATTAACTGGGGTATGAATGCATTGTAAATATCACCATTCCTTCTGAATTTCCTAAATTCTCCTTTTAAACAATATGCTAGGACCACAAGACAAATGGTTAATTAAAACATGCTTCACAAGTGTAAATTTCAAGAAACTTCATCGTGAGTGTACTGAAATCTTTATATATATGAATACTTCATTTAAAATAAATAGTGCTATAATTATGTAAAATTCTGTTTAGTCTTAAACATGGGGTATTTTGATTAAAAAACAACTCCGCTAATTATTACGCGGGCAACACTGTAAACAGTTCTACAAATAATAAATTCAACATATGAAATATGCAGTTTTTATCTGAATGAAGACAAACTACTGAATTTATCAGCTCATAATAAACAAGATCCGGTGTATGTCAAAAAAATAACTGTAAATTAACATTTATGATCAAATATATTTCAGACCACCTAAAAGAAAATCCCAGGGAGATAAAATTACAGAGAGGAGATCCAGTTTACCACATCTGAATGACAGCAGTAACAGCAATGATGGATCCCTGCATGATTCATTTCCCACGGTAGGTTTATTAGCATTTTTAAAATTTGTAAACATTCATTTAAAAGATGCAGTATATAGGAAGTAGAAAGAAAGAAGTAAAATTAATTTATACTTAAGCAATACTTCATTCTTATATTTTTTTGAATTCTTTTATTCACAAACAAGTCATCCTCATTTTCTAAATCACATTATTCAAAAAATACTGAGGTCCATATAAAGTTTCAAAACAGAGTTATATAAGTTTGAATTAGATTTGATAATGAGAAACAATTGAGAGGTCAAATGAAACCCTGAATAGCTTAAATGTCTTAAATATGAAGTACTAGCTTCACTATATGACGTGTATGACTATAACATATTTAAAACTAATGTAATGGATTTTCTTAGAATCTGATTTATCATTTGAAATACAAATAACTTCAATCAACTGTTTAAGTCAACAATTTATATTTTACATTCACAACTAATGTACAAGCAGTAAACAATATTTATTATTATACTTCATGTCAAAATGCCAGAATTTGATTGGTTAATACAAAGGATACAATTTACTCTATCCCATGGCAAATACTCTATTACCCTTCACGGAGACTCTTGCTCAAGTGTGCGCTTTAATAAATACGGATGATTGTTATGTATAAGACGACATAGTTTATTACTTTGCATTTGAAATTTAAAGACAGAACATTCAGTATAATAAATTAAATTAACACATATCTGAGAGGGTGATAGAGCAGATTGTTACCCTTTGAAAAGACATTGTCAACCTTGGCTTCCCCTCAGTTGACAATGTTTTCTCAAGTTAACAATCTGCTCTATCACCCTCTCAGCTATGTGTTATTTATATAGTGTCTTACTGAATCATCCAGAAATAACAGATGACTGGAAAGTTATCAAATACATTAAATAAGTTAAAGCTTTTTGTTTCCCCCTCTGCTCTTTATTTCACCTGCATCGATAGTTAGGATTGCAAGACCAAATCCTGATGTTTCTGGTGTTAGAAATTGTTAAACAGGGGAGACAATTTGACAAATCTCAGTGTGAACAGTGTATTTCAAGCTTTATTTGATTCAATTTGGAAGGTATATATACATCTACAACATTTATTATGATGAATGAGTTATTGTTTTCAAAGGAATTATAACTATTATGAAAGAGCTGCTTCATGATAAAATCTATCTGTTTCATGAATTTTTGTGCTCATTCGTTCTTTCATAATATATTTTTTTTTCAATAATGTCTTTGTATTTTTGCAGCAATTTCTAGAACAATTATTGAACAACCCGTTACTACACGAGAAGCTAGCAGAAAATATAAACAAAACTATCAACTGTTCTGACCTCAGTAAATCACAGAATCTGTCGGATGTCATTTTAATGCAGGATACTAGTCAGAAATCAGGAGCTGGAACACCTAAACCATCAACTAGTTTGGAAGATATATTAGATCCACATGTATGTATCAAGAAAGAGAGAAGTTTGATATACATCAGTTACAAAGCAATTGATCAATAAACCCATTAGTCATCAGTACCTTCTTATGTATTTAATATAACTTAATAAGGGCAATGACATCTACACGTAATGTTCTCAAGAAATAAAGGTTGTGTTAACCTAGCATCCGAAAACACATAATTTTACTAATAAATCAAAGAATCTGGGACTTGACCATGGGAGGTAATTTTGGACAAATGTGGTGTTTTTTCATTCAGGGGGAGATAACTGGATATATTATTGACCATTTATTTTTTCACAATTTTGTAATGTATCAACAGTGATCAAGAAAACAATAATTCAAATTTCAGTCCCTCCAAAAATACAATTAAATATCACTTTCTATCAATAAAGATGTTTGTCATGTATTAATTGGCTTAAGATTAATGTTATCCTATATAATCTTTATAAAATGATTTGGTGCTCCATATTTAAAACAAGAAAATGTTGTATTTTTCAAATTAGATTTGAATACATGTTCTCTTTCAGTAAAAATCTATTATGTATTTATTTTAGTGTTTGTTTATCTTGAATTCCTAGTCTTAAAATTGAGAATGGAAATGGGGAATGTGTCAAAGAGACAACAACCTGACCATAGAGCAGACAACAGCCAAATATATATATGTTACAATGTCTTACATATATTAACTGCCTCCAGTCTAGAGTTGCTTGCCTTGAGTGAGAAATGTTCTTTGTCTTTTATAGAACTGAAAACTTATGGGATGGCATTCTTAAAATCTGTTTATGTTTAGTCCGTCATGGTAAAGCAATCGGTTATAAGTCTTGCATATATGTCAACACTTTATCCAATCTTGTTGTCTATATACTGTCAGGGCTTTTCCAGAATTAATTGAAAAGGGGGCGAGAAGGCACTTTTATTTAAATTTGATGGGTGGTGGTTATTTGAGACAGATAGTCTTAACAATTATATGCTCAAAACAATTAAAATTTTATGCTTGGCCAGGTTAGATAAAAAGTGCCCTTCCCCTCCCCTACATATATTTCTGGAAAAGCCCTTAAAATAATGAGTTTTAACTGATATGATTTTTGCAAATGACTGTTATTGGTTGTTCAAGAATACTTTCTTCTCAACCTACTGTATGTAGATACTGAGAAAATTAGTTATGTATATCATTAAAAATTTAAACCTTAATATTCCTTCTATGAAAGTAGGGCTATATGTTACAATGTCACAACACTCCAGCTTCCTCCACACAATAACTGCTGACTAACATGAAATAGCCAAGAGTGCTGAAAGTTGGGTTAAACTCCAACAAGTAATTACAATGTCACAAGCCAATTTTACTATGAATACTTTGATCTTTAACATAATGTCTTGATAACTTCCTTAGGTTCTCCTTGAAAAGAAACATTTATTAAACGATATTTTCTGAAAAGCAAACTAACATATATATATGTTGATATTTTGACAGGAAACCCAGATGACTGGTGAACAGATTAATGATGTCATTGATATGACCAAGGGAGATGCTGTGTTTGATTCATTGTTCAAACTATTTCATGAAGGTAAAAACTAATTGAAACAAAGTAAAAAGTACTCAGTAAGCTAATAAAAAATGAAGCATTTGAAACATTTGCGACATAAATAAAAAGCTTATGCATGTACGCAGGTGACAATGAATAATTAAATCAAAATTGTTCATAATATTATGGCTTCCATTTCCTTAAACAAATTCTCTATCATCTGATCAAATGTCTATATAACCCTTTAAGGACAATTGAAAATATAATAATTATTCAACTCACAGAAAAGGGGTAGTCTTATATTTTAGTCTGTCAGAAATGATAATAAATATTAAAAGCGAATTATTAGAAAAATAGCTTATAAAAATACAATAGATAGTTTTGGAAAAGCTTTTCAAATACAGTGGACTCTCATTATCTAGAAGTCAGCCGGACCAGAATTTTTTTCGAGATACCCGTAGTTGGACTCAAACGAATACGAAGTTTGACAATTCAAGGGACACAACTCTTGCTTAGCTTGTAAGGCTAAAATAAATACAGATGAATTTGGGTAGGGGATCGATATTCTGGTCTGATATCGATGTACCTGTATGTAAAGGTCTTTTATTATTATAATAGAATTATATGAATTTTCGTCTCTTATTTGTTATTAAGTCACAGTTACAACTTTTTTCTTATAGTTTTTAGCCGAGAGAGTAATTTCCAATCACTATAAGCGTGATTTAAAGTTGACAAAATTGTTCATTCTCGTATACAAGTAAAAGATTTTAGAATTTTTTTTTTTTTTTTTATTTTAATTTGTTTCAATCCTTTTCAGCAAGAGAAATTAGAATAAAATTAAAGACGCCGATTAAGTAGATTTGAGTTGATTGCTAAGGCCAGGGTTTTTTAATATGTTGGTTTACGGATCCGTTGACCCTATTTTTCCGATTTGCAGAATAAAAATAAAATTGACATTTCATGCTTTTTTATTCCCGCCAACTCTAACAAATACATTATCCTTAAAATATAAATAAAAATATTCTTTTTTGTGATTAGGTCTAGTTCATGGTGAACCACTAGTGGTAGGTCAATGATATTTGGTATGCAGTTGTATTAGCATTGGCACATCTCATTACCATAGAGATTATTTGGCCCCGCCCCCTCAGTCAAGGTCTATTGACTTTGAAACTTTGCTTTGTTTACATGTATTAGTTTGTGATTAGGTCAGTTTATGGGGAACCACTAGTGGTAGGTCAATGATATTTGGTATGCAGTTGTATAAGCATTGGCACATCTCATTTTCATGCAGAATACTTGGTCCCGCCCCCTCAGTCATGGTCTATTGACTTTGAAAATTTTGCTTAGTTTACATGTATAAGTTTGTGATTAGATCAGTTTAAGATGAACCGCTAATGTTAAGTCAATGATATTTGGTATGCAAATGTATTGGCATTTGCAAGTCTCGTTTCCATGGATTATATAGCCCTACCCCCTCATCATGGTTCATTGATTTTGAAACTTTTACATAGTTTACAAGTCAATGTTTGTGTTTAGGTTTGTTGAAAGGGAATGACTTATGATGAGTCTATGGTATTTGGTATGCAGTTGTTTTACCATTGGCACATCTCATTTCCATGGAGATTGTTTTGCCATGTACCTTCAATCATGGTTCATTGACTTTGAATATTTGCATAACTTACATGTTAAAGTATTCCTATTTTAATTTCAACATTTGCATTATCAAAAGTACAAAAAGGCGAGACATATCTCTGTGTTAACAGTTTATTATCTATTATTTTCGTGCTTGAAGATCATTATTCACCATGTTCCCTGAAAGTTGATAAAAAGTAAAGTGGAACTGTATTTTCTTGATCGTGAAATGACGATTTAAAATTTCGTGTTTGTCTGTGGACATACCCCCCTTCTTCGAAATTATATGACGATACATGCATGTATGTTTAAAACAGCTGAGCAATAATATTTAGAACTAAAATTTAAAAAATGATGACAAAGAAGCATACCAAAAATATTGTTAAAAGATTTATTTTTTTACATATTTATGTCTTGTAAGATATTTTTTTGTCCCCTGCATAACTCGTTAAGGGGGAAATAGAAATACTGGGCGTCCGTCTGGTCTTGTTAGCACTCTTATGTGTAAAATTTTTGCCAGATTGTTATGAAACTTATATCATAGGTGTATATCAGCAATGTCTTGGACGAGTTTCGAAAATCAGTGCCAATCAATTATTTTTAAAAGAGTTATGCCCCTTGGATACATTAATTATATGGAAAATTGCATCGTTAGCGCTCTCATTTGTTCAATTCTTGCCAGATTTTTATGAAACTTATATCATAGGTTTATATTAGCATTTGTCTTTGACAAATTTGAAAATCAGTGATGATCAATAATTTTTAAAAGAGTTATGCCCCTTGGAAATATAAATTATATTGAAAATTGCCTTATGAGAGCTCTATTGTGTACAGTTCTTGCCAGATTTTTATGAAATTTATGTAATAGGTTTATATCATCATTGTCTTTGATGAGTTAAAAAAATCAGTGCCGATCAATTATTTTTAAAAGAGTTATGCCCCTTGAAAATATTGATTATATGGAAAATTGCAATATTATCGCTCTCATGTGTTCAATTCTTGCCAGAATTTTATGAGACTTATATCATAGGTCTATATCAGCAATGTCTTTGACACTTTCGAAAATAAGTTCTGATCTAATAGTTTTAACGAGTTATGCCCCTTGGAAATATAAATTATAATGGAAATCACATTGCATTTGCTCTGAAGCCTTCATTTCTCTTAAGATATTAATAAAAAGTTTTAAAGAAAAAAAAAGTGCTATTTTTAGTTATTGCCCTTGTACCTTAGATAGATAAAATATGTGCAACACGGGGGACATTGGAACTCTGTTCTTTTATTTTCTTTTTTTTTTCCTGACCGACCTACCCGACTTTTTCATGTGAAAAATCCATAAACCAACAAATTAAAAATCTCTGGCCTAAGTCTTAATCCCTACTTTATGCACAACCAAGCTCATTAACGTATGATTACCGTTAATTGTTTTTAAAACATTATAAAGTATTTTTCATAAACTATAACACTGTATAACTAATTATTTATAATGGTGATCAAAAATAATCTTAGGTAAACACTTGTGGAAAAAGAATGTTTCTAGTCACTGGTCAGTGACTAGAAATTTAATTACAGGTGTATTGTCAGATCTTCTATTCATTTAGATTCCCAGGGTCATGTTTTCTAGATAAATAATGCAATTTGAATGCTTTTCTTAACCTTGGGACTGTTAATTTGGTTTGAATCAACTGAAATTTCGACTCATCAGGAGTCGAAATACATATATTTATATGGACCAAAGTTCGGGACCACGGGAAAACTTTGATTAATCTGAAATTTCTAGTCGACCGAGTTCGCAACAAACAAGTGTTAACTGTAGTTTATGATAATGATGATGAGTGAGGACATTTATAATTGATGGTATATGCATGAACTGACATAAAATTAAAAAAAAACTTGATGATTGTCTTTATAAAGAGCAGGAACTTATTGTAAATGTTTTGGAACTGGTGACAACAACTCAGTAACAACTACATTGGGTGGTTAGAATCATTGATAGGTGTTCATGTGTGTATGTCAGAACTCCTTGGAGAAATTCTTTATGGTCTCAATTCTGAAAACAAGCAGATAAACTAATGTAAAGATGACAATTTTATTAAATTTCAGATTCCAGAGTTGGTTCCTGCTCATCGGATAATAGACTAGATGAGGTCCATAGTATGGTGTCCACTGTCTCACCTTTTGTAGCAGTAACTACAGCAAATTATCTTACATGTGATCATGCCAGTATAAATTCTGGGTTTAAACCTATCAATAGTGCTGAATGTGACTTTGTACCATCATTTTCTATTGTGTCAACTAAAACACGGTTTGAGAAAAGCTTTGAGAATAAATATGTGAGTGAGGAATCAATAAATGCAGTTTTGCAAAGCTATTCATCGGTGCAGACAAGAACTTTAAATACTCCAACAGATTTTTCTGTTATTTCAAACATGACTTCTTCAAGTGTTAACACTTCAACATCATCAAGTATTACACCAACAGTGACAATATCTACATCTTCTAGACCTGTATTAACATCTCAGTCAACTTCTGTTACATCAACATCTGGATCTGTTGTGTGTTTACAACCATCCTCATCAACCATGTTAAACCAAGAGTCAATAGAATCAGAATCATTCAGCCAGTCTGGATCATCAAATTATTTGTACACATCATCTGTATCTTTGACTTCTGAAAAAACTGTTGTATCATCAGCATCAAATTACCCATTGCCATCTGCAAGCATAGTATGTTCTCCATCATATAATACAGGCCCTGCATTAAATAACACTTCTTCAGCTATCAGTACACCATCAAACCAGTCCATTCCAGTGACAGCTGGTTCTAATCCAGTATCGAAATCTACTTCATATATAACATTTGTGAAGGGTGTATCAGCAACAGAGAACAGTAGTACTCCAGTTGGACAGAGATCCAGTCCTCTTACAGTACAGATGGAAGATACCACTGAAACATTTAAGGGACTACCTTCAGATGTTAAACAGCTGTTTTCTTCATTTGAAGAAAATTTGTCAGAGTTATCAAAGAGCCAGGTTTGTTCATCAGAATTCATAATGGTGTTAAGATAAAATTATAACATATTATGAAATGAATCTTTATAGTTAACATTTAGAAAGTTACATGTACATGATGTATGACAGAACTTTAAAAAAAATAACATTTGTACAAAACTACATATTACAATTGTTGACTTTTCTTAAATACATTTAAAAACTGTGTGGGGTAGAAATACATGACATGAACAGAAATATATATTTTGGATTACAAGGAACAATGACAAAGTAATACTTCACTTTTAATAGATCTTTGTCAGCAACATAAGCAAAGTTAATATACATGATATATGCAGTGCTATTTTATCTTTTAATCATATTTTTTTACCAAAGAATATGTACCATTTTATTCATTCATCCTGCACTTTCCCCTACAAGTATAATACTGCCACAACTTTATACTGACACAGTTCTTTCCCCTACACATATAATACTGCCACAACTTCATACTGACACAGTTCTTTCCCCTACAAGTATAATACTGCCACAACTTCATACTGACACAGTTCTTTCCCCTACAAGTATAATACTGCCACAACTTCATACTGACACAGTTCTTTCCCCTACACATATAATACTGCCACAACTTCATACTGACACAGTTCTTTCCCCTACAAGTATAATACTGCCACAACTTCATACTGACACAGTTCTTTCCCCTACAAGTATAATATTGCCACAACTTCATACTGACACAGTTCTTGCCCCTACAAGTATAATACTGCCACAACTTCATACTGACACAGTTCTTGCCCCTACAAGTATAATACTGCCACAACTTCATACTGACACAGTTCTTTCCCCTACAAGTATAATACTGCCACAACTTCATACTGACACAGTTCTTTCCCCTACAAGTATAATACTGCCACAACTTCATACTGACACAGTTCTTTCCCCTACAAGTATAATACTGCCACAACTTCATACTGACACAGTTCTTTCCCCTACACGTATAATACTGCCACAACTTTATACTGACACAGTTCTTTCCCCTACACGTATAATACTGCCACAACTTCATACTGACACAGTTCTTTCCCCTACACGTATAATACTGCCACAACTTCATACTGACACAGTTCTTTCCCCTACAAGTATAATACTGCCACAACTTCATACTGACACAGTTCTTTCCCCTACAAGTATAATACTGCCACAACTTTATACTGACACAGTTCTTTCCCCTACAAGTATAATACTGCCACAACTTCATACTGACACAGTTCTTTCCCCTACAAGTATAATACTGCCACAACTTCATACTGACACAGTTCTTGCCCCTACAAGTATAATACTGCCACAGTTCTTGCCCCTACAAGTATAATACTGCCACAACTTCATACTGACACAGTTCTTGCCCCTACAAGTATAATACTGCCACAACTTCATACTGACACAGTTCTTGCCCCTACAAGTATAATACTGCCACAACTTCATACTGACACAGTTCTTGCCCCTACAAGTATAATACTGCCACAACTTCATACTGACACAGTTCTTGCCCCTACAAGTATAATACTGCCACAACTTCATACTGACACAGTTCTTGCCCCTACAAGTATAATACTGCCACAACTTCATACTGACACAGTTCTTGCCCCTACAAGTATAATACTGCCACAACTTCATACTGACACAGTTCTTGCCCCTACAAGTATAATACTGCCACAACTTCATACTGACACAGTTCTTTCCCCTACAAGTATAATACTGCCACAACTTTATACTGACACAGTTTTATCAGGAACATCCTATCAGAAGGTATAATAATTGATCACTAAAACATCTTTATAATTATGCAATTGTGTTAAAATAAGACCAGAAGGGTTTTCTGTTATCCCTTGTCATTTTAATAAAGATTCTTTTAAAATGGGTTAATAACATGAAGCATATAACAATTCATTTCTGTTCATTTCTTTGGGTTATCTAAAAAGATAGGTTTTATCAAATCTTGAATATGTTTTTGATATGAATGAAAATTGTTGTGGGGTAAACTTTGATTAGACACCCACTCAATGAACCAAGAGTACTAAAATAGTCCAACCTGATTAATAATGGTGAGGTCTGAATGGCTGAGATGTCTTGAGTGAGCATATACCTACAGTGTTCCAGCTAGCATGATATGGAGGGGCGCCGCGCCCCGCCCCCGAAATTTTGCGCCCCTCTGCCTTTTTTAAGCGCCCCTCTGTCCTTCTGCCCTTCTGTGCCCTTTTAAAAAAAGTTTAAAAAACGATCTTTTTTCCTCATATCGTCGCCATTTTGTTGAGTTCTTTATACACACACTTCATTAAGACAACAGATTAAAATTGTTGACACTTGTTACCTGTATATAATCACCTATTTTATTAGAGTCAATTACTTAATCAGGTGAAATTTATGACCCTGTCTAATCCCTTTGCCCTGAAGCACCAAAACATCCAAGTTAAATGAATTGATTTTTTAACACCTGAGGATGCAAAATAGAATTTATAAAATAAATGTGAACGATGTTCATTTCTATTGTATTTGTTATTTATAAAATAAGGTTCATTAAAAAAGAATCATTCCAATAGTATATTGTAAATCGTCAACACGCAAAATGCCGACGAAAAAAAGAAAAATTGACCAAATCGGAAATGACAAGAAGAAAATATCAAAGACTTGCCAGTCTATTACATCTTTTTTTCAAGAATAATGACCATCAAAGGTAAAAAAATAATTTAATTCTTTACTTTTATGAAAAATCGAGAAGAAGAAATTAAGGTTTCTATCAGATATCGCAATTGTTCTTCTATTGTAAATTCCGCCGATTACGGAGCACTCGAAAGTCCGATTTTTATATCATTTTTCTTGAATTGAAATCCGTTTTGACTAACTTTAATATTGATATTATTATTGATACGCTCAACATGAAATATACGGAGATGCTTGTTGAATTGATAATAAACTTTCAAAGTTGAACTAATTTATTATTGTGCCGATTACGGAGCTCTCGAAAGTCCGATTTTTGTATCAATTTTCTTATTGAAATCCGTTTCGACAAACTTATTGATATTATTAGATACGCTCAACATGAAATATACAGAAGATTTTGACACTAAAATCAGAGAGTGCTTTCTCAATGGATTAATTGAAAATATAACAGTTAGATTTAAGGATGCTGACACAATCGATCAGTTGGCCATTTCAGACCTTACAGAAACAGACAACATTGAAACAATGTATGGTTATACAAAAATAGAGGCTCTGGCAAATACATTTGACATGGACCCTGAAACTCTCCTTATTCAATGGCAGGACTTAATAGCTCTTGTGTCATCAGCAGAACTTACAGATCGTTCCTTACCTATTCTGCTAGAGCTATTTCATTCACCTTGTCATAAGGATAAAAACCTATTATCTATGTACCCTCTTGTTGCAAAACTATTCAGTGTTGCAATAATACAACCACTCAGTACAGCAGCGGTTGAGAGAATATTCTCTCAGGTCAAATTGATAAAGACAAGTCACAGGGCAAACTTGAAAACACAGACATTAACAAAAATATTAACTGTAAAATTAAACTGTGATGAAACTAAATTTGAAAAAATTCTTCATCAATGTGTGACAACCTTCTTCAAAGAGAAAAACAGAAGACTTGTCAATGTTGTTTAATATTTATTTGCATTTGAACTCTTCTTTGAAAAAATCTGTAATTCTGAAAGCGAAATAAATATAGTAATGACTATTAGTGGTCTCAGTTTATGTCATTATGTGGTAATATTAAGTATTTGATTTTTTTTAGTGAGAACGCGCTAAAGTGCCCTTTTTTAAAAACGCGCCCCTCTATTTTCAAATCCTAGCTGGAACACTGACCTATACAGACCAATGTGACCTTTCACCTCTGTAGTAGGGGTAACAAAATACCTGTAGTCCTTTAAAAAAAAGGTAATGGGCAGTGAGATTACTCATGTGAGTCATGCATGTATGATTGAGTTTGTTAGTTACTGACTGAAGGTTTGAGATTTAAATGAGGCACTCTGCTTTACTCAACAAAAAAGTTTAGTCCATGAAAATTTTGAGTTTATTAGAAAGTGGCTTTACTAAAAACAAACATGCATAGTTAAACGCAATTTTAGATTGAATTTTACGTGATAGATCATTTTTTGTTTGTAAAAAAACCTTCATCTTTCGTTGCAGGAAGAGGCCAATGTAAGACATACAAATGCTAATACCAGATCATCGAGGAAGAACAAAAAAGTATCTCCAAAGACACCATCTAATAGAAATAAGCAAAAAATATCACCCAAATCACAAAAAAAGTCATCAAAATCTGAAGCAGGATTACCTTCACAGCATTTGGAATTATCAGAATCAAATAAAACCAAAAAGACACCAGAAAGTACTTCAAATAGTAAAAAGTCATCACCATCTTCGAAAAATGAAAAAGAAAAACCTGTGAAGAAAGATTCAAGAAACAGCACCGCCAAAAATAAGGACAAGCGATCCCCAATAGCTGGTAAACCAAAAGAAAAAAAGCTAACGCCTAGACCGCAGATAAGATGTAATCCCCTCAAGCCAAAGAATGACAACAAAGGGACTAAGTCATCACCTATAACAACTATATCAACTCCTACATGGTCTTCAGGTATAATATACAATATGCATATTCAGAAATGGTTAATGGATGCCATTGATATGTTCCCATCAGTTTTTCTTCTCATCATTATACTAAAAACCAACTAATTTTCGCGAGCAATTATTTTTGTGACTTTCATGAGTAGAAAAATAATGCGAATATAAATTGTCTGAAATGTGTTATTTTTGGGTATTCTTCGTGTTCTTGTTCCCTTAGATTATCACATAAGAAAGTTTAGAAAATTGCAAAAATAAATCTTCTCAAATTTGGCTAGAAAGGGCTAAACTTGATATAAATTATCAGCTTAAATAAATTGGTTCATAATAATTAAATGGCACTTAGGAAAATGAATTACCAGAAATTCATTTAAATGAAATATTTCGATGAAACAATACATAAACAACTGGACTAAGAAAATGGAACCCTAGTTGTGAGCTTTTAATTTGGCCAAATTAAAGAAAATGAACAAATGGAAGTTTTTCAGGGGAGATAATAACTAGCACAAAATATATGGATACTTTTCCTTATGTTCAGCTTAGGAAACTAGTTGCCATAAAGAATAAGTGGTTGTTTGGATAAAAAATGTCATAAACCAATTTATGTGGTTTAATACTAGACAACTGTTAAGTTCAGTATATTATCCCATGTTTAAAAAAATAAAATTCTAAATTTACATATATACCTGGTTACCCAATTTTGAAAGTGCCTTCCCTGGGTACCATGTATGTTTAAATGGAACAGTTGTAATTCATTGTCGGTTATCTTTATATATTTTTTTACATTTTGGTAAATGAAGTTTAATGGACAGAATACAATGATTAATTTCTAGATTTCACTGGAAGTTCGTAAAGTTTAACACACAAAAACAGATCTGGTTTTGGATGTTGAAACTAGAACATTTTTTTTTATACTTTTATATATGGCAGTAAGATTGGTTTGAGAAGGGATGTGAATAAAAGAAAAGATCAGGAAAAAACCCCATAATATTTCATTTTTTGCTCAATTGAATATATAAGGTTGGCCGTAATTTTCAGTTTTGAGTAGCTTTTACATGCAGGTGATATGATACAGGTACTGTATTCATCTTTTTGTTGAAAGGATTTTATATATAAAATAAGACGATGTGGTAGGATTGCCAATGAGACAGCTCTGCACCAGAGACCAAATCATGTAGAAGGTTAGAAATTAATGGTCACTGTAAAGCTTTCAACAATGATCAAAACCCATACCGCATAGCAAGCAACAAAGGGCCATGACAAATGTAAAATAATTCAAGCAAAAAAACTAGCAGCCTGATTTTTTAACAAAACAATAAACAAAAAACAAATATGATATACAGCAACAAACAACAACCACTAATTAGAGGCTCCTGACTTGGGACAGGCACATACAGAATGTAGCTTGGTGAATCCCAACCCACCCCTTACTTGGGACAGTTGTGTAACAGCACAACATAAGAACAAACTATAACAATCAGTTGAAAAGGACTTGATTCATCAAATCACCACAAACCAGAAAAAAACTAACAAAAACACAAAAGACACAAAGTACAGATCTGAGAGTACTAACAGTAACAGAAAGGTAGTTCAAAGCCAATAAAAACTGATAAAAAAATCTTGTATCTAAGACATTAAGCCATCTTTTCTTTCTATATTTTCATTCTAAAAGCATGAAGATATTACATGAAAGAATAAAACAAAATTTCCATCAATAAGATATTATACATAAACAATATAGCTATGGTATGGAATAAATACTATACAAAATAAATATGTTTGCTTTTTGTAATGATCAAACACTTTATAATCTTTATATCTTTAGATTTATCAGCATTAATAAAGATTGCATCTCCAGAGAAGGTAAAAAAGGATTGTGGACAAGAGGAGAAAAATGAAATATCTACAGGAATCACACAGACTCCTACAGGAAGAAAGAAAGGTGGCACATCTCAACAGACTCCAATTAGAACTCCTTCATCAAAATCAATTAAAATTCCTTCAGCAAAGTCGGGGAATAGTTCAAGGAAAACACCTTCATCTAATCGAAAGAAATCTGATTCTAATAAACAAACTTCTCAATCGGGACCACAAACCTTTCTTTGTAGTATCTCACCGACAACTAAGGACTTTAGGCATGTCCCAATGACAAATGCTAGCAGTAATGAAGAAAAGACGCCTTCAGGAATTATAAAACTTGGACCATCATGTTTAGGTCATGTTCTTAAGATGAATACACATTTTTCTGAATGCACAAAGACAGTAATAATTCCAGACAATGGTCCAACAAGCTCCAAAACTGTAGCACCTAATAGTAAATCTTCCAAAATTCGCATGAATAAAAGAACAATATCGCCACAACAAATAGCTCCAATTCTTTCAATGCCAACGTTAGATGGAAATAGTAATGATGATTTTATGCTTAATCAACCGATAGTTTTGACACCAACTATTCAAAATGTTACAGATGAAAATGAAATTGGACAGACACTAAAAACAAGTACAGATGTAATGCATGCGAGAACACCTCCATCTAAATTTGAAAATATAATTTATACACCAAATTCTGATTACTTAGAATCACCAGTAAAACAAGTTTTAGGTGACAGCATGAACATAATTCAACAGACTACTACTAGTTTAAATGGTATTCAGAACAGCCCACCTGTCCAAGCTATTTATACAGCAACACCAATAACAGATATTGTTGGATCACAACATGTGCATGTAAGACCTTTGGATTTTGATTCTAAGTCTAATTCTAGTCCTTTACCAGTGATGGTAAACAATTGCAAACATAAACAAAGAAAACAGAAACAAAATGTAACTCAGTCAAAAAGGGGAAAGAAACCAGCAAAATCTGCAATGATTATGAAACAGATAATACCTGATGTCATCGCAATAGATTCTGGAAACGAGACTGAAAAAGAAGCTTCAGATGATGCCAGAATTCATCCTATAAGGGGTGTTTTAACTCCAAAATTTAATTCCAACCAAAAAACTACTGATGGGCCAATGGGACCCTCCAGTGTTGTTAATTTGAGCACCATTACCAGTGTGAATATCGGAACAAAAGACACATCTATTTATAGATCAGTAAGTGAAACTGAAAGTGTAAATTTGAACGCCATTACCAATGTTAATATAAGTACGAAAGACACTTCTATTTATAGACCCTTAAGTGAAACCGAAAGTGAAGAAGGGATTAGCGCTGGATTTCAGAGTAAACACCAAGACAATAAAACAATTGTACTGGGGGACAAAGTGATTTTACCTACAGTTATATCAGCAGATAGAAGATTGAACACTTTTATTTCAGCTGAGGATGATTTGATCCCAGATGCTTGTGGAAATATTCACATGAATAATGGACAAGTCATGAACGTTAGACCACACAGTACAGATATTATTGTTCAATTACCACTGAAAGATGGACAGAAACAAAACTCATCACAAAGTTTTAGTGTAAGACCAATGCAAACCAAAAATCAGAACTCATCACAGAGTTTTAGTGTTAGACCAATACAAACGGAAAGTCAGATTTCAGTTCAGTCACAAATCCCAATGCAAGGACATTCACATAATGAATTCCCCATTCGGGCACGGACCCCTGTTGAACAGTTAGCCAGGGATTATCAAGGATTTAATGTTTCTCCTTCTTGCCAGAAATTTATAGGTCAGTTTGGTTTAAATCCGAAGAATGACAAATTTTTAGGGAAACCACTGAATACACATATTAATTTGAAAAATTCTGTTGATCGGAAAACTACCTCATATTCAAAAGCATCTAGTCCATTAAGAAATATAACACCAAAGCCATCAGTTGGTACTGGCAATATTGATGGCTCACCTTTAATGCCGGTCTTCTATGATATCCATCTCACAAAAGAGAGTTCCAATGACACTTGTTCTTCAGAGGTTGAACAAATTAACAATATGGCTAAAAGAACAGAAATGAATAAATCTGGATGTAAAACAAAAGCTGTTGAAAAATTGGTCAAAGCACAATGTAGTGACAATGAGTTTTCATCTGGTAGCGAAGATATTGATGTTGAGGGTGATTGGGAAAATCCATGGAAGAATATTTCTGGTGATGTAAGTGACACTACGCCTGTGAATTCTCCAAATGTAACAGTACACGAAAAAAGAACATCAGTAGATGAGAGTTCACCCAACAAAACTATATCAAACAAGGTTCCAGTAACAAGCCAAATTACCTCAAAACCAGTGACTTTAAAATCGCATGGAGAAACGGAATCTATTTGTAGTTTAAGTCAAAATACTCAGGTAACAGGTAAATATATAATGACTCCTCCCAAAAAAAGGATTACAGCTTCTATGAAATGTGGTAGTGGTCTTTACTTTGTATCTACAAACAGAGACAAAAATACTGAGACTTCAGAAAAGGTTTCAAAGACTAAAAGAACACCCAAGAAATCACTAAGTGAATTCACAAATTTAAGACGAAGTCCAAGATTAAGTTCTGCATCACAAAGTTGTGGTAAATCTCCACAGTTACTTGATAAAGTAAAGAGAAACCTAACAGATATAAAGGAAGATGGAAACTGTGATAGAATAAAAATTGGAAACAAGAGACCCAGGGAAGAATCAGAAGATTATAGAATGGTAATAATTAAGAATTTTACCTTTGAAAAAAAAGTATATAAAAAGATAAGGAAGACTATAAGAAAGGAACATAAATGAAAATGAAAAAAACAGTTATGATTTTTTTAGAACTTTCACTTTGATGAAAAGCCAAACAAAAATTATTTTTTTTACCTTTAACTCCAAAATGGCCTTCATTGTTAGAGGTTGAACATATCCTGATTATCTAGTTCAAAGATTATCCCTGAAACTGAGCAAGTCATGAATGTGATCTACAGGAAGAAACCTGAGATGAGATGTCAACACCAAATCCATAAATAAACAAAACCATAAAGCATTATTGCAACCACAAACAAATTGATATCCAATGGATAACAGGCATAATTACATGTGAAATATCAGACCTGCGAAGTAAATACTTAACTAAACACACAGCAAGCATCCCTATAACTCCTCAAAGTGAAAAACACAAACGGACAATCAGCCTAGTAAAATCACACTTAGATATATCAACATAATAAACAACACAAAAATTGTAACAAGGACCAAGACTGCTGAACAATATAATTATTTAAAGCATTATTGCAACCACAAACAAACATTCTGTGGATAACAGGCTAATTACATGTGAAAGTATCAGACCTGCAAAGTAAATAATTAACTAAACACCCCTTCATCTTTTCAACTCAAAAGGACAATTAGACAAGTAAAATCACTCAGAAAAATCAACACAAAATTAGTAACAGTTACTGGATAAGATTACTGAACAATGTTTTTATTTGATAAAAGACCACTTCAAAATCACTGAATATGCTGACAAAAGAGGCTCCATAAACAGTGAAACTGCTTGAAACAATTTTGCGACAAAAGATTTTGTATGAATTACAAAGATTATTTTCTTAAAGAATTCATTTTATACTAATTTTTCAATATTCAGTCGAACCTGCTATAAAGGTCACATCTATTATTTAAGCGAAAACTTGTCTTGTAAGGTTAACCTCAATTCAAAGTTCACCACTCTTATTAGGTCAATTTTCTCTGGTCCCGTAGATGACCTTTATTACAAGTTTGACTGTACACTGGGATCAGTTTAGAGGGTTTCATTGTGGTATAATCTAGTGGTAATTCTAAAATTGTTGTACCCTATTTTTGATAATTCTTAATCTAAAATAAAAACAAATAATGAATCTGTATTAATGAAATATTGATGTCAACATTATACATGTTATATATTATTATGGTTTACTTTTTTACAGGATACAGAATCAAAGCCTAAATCAAGAAAGGTAAATATTTATTTCACTTAAAGATAAGATTATTGTCATACTGTTTGAAACATTAGGTAATTAAGATAATTGAATGTAACAATTGAGACAATGTGAAAAGATTAGATAATAAGTTTAAGATTTTAACATACATTTCATACAGCAGACATTACTAGCTGTTAATGAAGAGATGCAGTGATATAGCTTACACTGGAAAATGTCTTCAAATGATTATCAGTAGAAAAGTATCAAAGTTTCTATATATGTTACTAGTGTTTCCTGCAGCTTTTAAAAGGGGCAGGGTAATTTTTTTCTCAGAGTGCACTCTTAGCGAGATTGGCTACACTTTAAGGGCACCCTTTGTGTGGAGGACTACACTTTTAGGGCACTCTTTACATTGGTATAAAGGCACAGTAATAGGGATTTATTCGAAATATACGTAATGTTCATCCCATGCATCATAAAATTATAATCGCCTTGTTCCCCTTTAAATTGTCTACATTTTAAATTCGTAGAGTTAAAAAGTCGAGGTTGTTCGTATTAGATTCAATCATGAACTGTATTTGTACTCTGTCGCTTCAAAGATGTTAAACATAATTTTGAAATTGAATAAAATGTCGGCCATTTAAATTTTGATTTCCTTAAAAGGAACATAACTCGAAATGGTCTTACTAAAAGTCAAATCGCAGAACCGATCTAAATTGCTGCAGGGCGTTATAAAATATGACGGAAAAGGGACATGGCGCCAAGAAAAAACAGCAGGGTGCTATACCACGCCAAAACCTCCTGTGGGAAACATTAGTTTCAGGCTAAAAATTCGTTAGAGAATATGTGATTGAGACATAGAAAGAATAAAGATTACCACAAAATTGATCACAAAATCATGCTCACATTGAAACAGGAGAGCTTATATGTTTAAATTTTGATAATAACTGGGACAGATGCAAGGTTTTCTGTAAGGATTTGCATATTCGGTTATATATGTCATGCATGCATTTGTCTATATGCCATTTTGTTTTTCTTTGTTGACATATTTGTTGTTTTTTTTATAGTGATTAAGATTATAACATGTGTTGACTGCTGTACCCCTATTTTTAGCTCACCTGACCTGAAGGGTCAAGTGAGCTTTTCTCATCACTTGGCGTCCGTCGTCCGTCGTCATCCGTCGTCGTTAGCTTTTTACAAAAATCTTCTCCTCTGAAACCACTGGTCCAAATTTAACCAAACTTGGCCACAATCATCATTAGGGTATCTAGTTTAAAAAATGTGTCCGATGACCCCGCCAACCAACCAAGATGGCCGCCATGGCTTAAAATAGAACATAGGGGTAAAATGTAGATTTTGGCTTATATCTCTGAAACCAAAGCATTTAGAGTAAATCTAACATGGGTTAAACTGATTATCAGGTCAAGATCTATCTGCCCTGAAATTTTCAGACAAATTGGACAACCTGTTGTTGGGTTGCTGCCCCTGAATTGGTAATTTTAAGGAAATTTTGCAGTTTTTATACGACCGCAAAAAAATTTTGAGGTCGTATATTGGTATGACGTTGGCGTCGTCGTCCGAATACACAATGGTTTTCGCACTCTAACTTTAGTTTAAGTGAATGGATCTCTATGAAATTTTACCATAAGGTTCAATACCACAATAGGAAGGTGGGGATTGATTTTGGGGGTTATGGTACCAACAGTTAAGGAATTAGGGGCCAAAAAGGGGCCGAAAATAAGCATTTTTGTAACTTCCAGACATAACTTGTGTGTTAGCATATGGATCTCTTTGACATTGTACCACAAGATTCCATATCACAAAGGGTCAATGCTGGGATTGATTTTGGGGTTAATTGCCTCAAAATTTTAGGAATAAGGGGCCAAAAGGGGGCAAAAAACAAGCATTTTTCTAGTTTCATGACAATAACTTGTGTGTAAGTGTATGGATCTTTCTGAAATTTTACTACAAGGTTCCATTTCACAAAGGGAAAGCTGGAATTGAGTGTTGTGGTAATTGCCCAAAACGTTTAGTAATAAGGGGCCTAAAAAGGGGTTTAAAATAAGCATTTTTTAGTTTCTAGACAATAACTTGTGTTCAAGTGTATGGATCTCTCTAAAATTGTATTACAAGGTACCATACCACAAAGGCAAGGCTGTTATTGAGCTTGGTTTGGGGGGGGGAAAGGGGGGTGGGGGTGATGAATCATAAGGGGGGCGGGGTCAAAAAAGGGGTAATTTTTTTTTCCCTTTTTTTTTTGTTTAAAATTTACATTTTAAGTTAGTTATTTTTTATCACGAAGAGAAAGTAGGAATTGAGTTTTGGGGTTAATTGCTCAAACATTTATGAATAAGGGGCCAAATATTGGTCGAAAATAAGGATTTTTTTAGTTTGCAACAAAAACTTGTGTTCAAGTGTATGGATCTCTGTGAAATTGTATTGCAATGTACCATACCACAAATTGAAGGTTGTGATTGAGGTGGGGGATGATGAATCAAAAGGGGGTTGAAAAAATGTGTGGGGGGTAGGATTTTTTTTTTTCCTTTTTTTTTCTTTAAAATTTTCCATTTAAAGATGGTTGTTTCAGATTTATATATGAAAGAAAATAATAATGATACGGTTATATATCATGAAGAATTGAAATTTAAAATTATGTATATTGGAAATTTAGGTTACATTGGAAAGTAATAATTGGCTTGGGGGGGTGGGGGGGTGGTTATGGCTCTAATGTTTAAGGAATAAGGGGAAAAAAGGTTAAAAAACAAGGGTTTCCATTTTAATAGACACATAATTGAGTAAAGAACATTATTTAAAAGCAGTGTAAGGTTGGTAATTCAAACTCATTTAAATATCTCATCTACACTGCTTTTAAATTATGTAAATTGGAAATTTGCCAATAACTTTATTGTTAATAAATGCATTGGAAATTTGCCAACAATTTTAGTGTAATAAACTTCATTGGAAATTTGCCAATATAAAATTTTGCTGATGAAGGTTTTTTGTTTACCTTTAGCCTTGACTATGAAGTCATTTTCTATTTTTATAGCCTTATGATGTAGTTGAATTATTTAATACTTTTATGATGTGTTTAAATGGGGTTTTATCATGTTTATGGTTGCAAATTTATTGTTTTAGTATAATAAACTCCATTTAAAATTTGCCAATAAAAAAAAATTTTGTTTATTTTTAGCTATGATTATGATGTCATTTTCTATTTTACTTTTATGGTTGCAAAGAAATTTTTATTTTTAGATATTACTGTTAAATGATGCTGATTAAGGTTTTTGCTATGTTTAGCCATGACTATGATGTCATTTTCTATTTTAATATCTGTTATGATGTATTTAAATGGGCTTTTATGGTTACAAAGGAATTTTATTTTTAGATATTACTATAAAATGTTGCTGATGCTGATTAAGGATTTTGTTTATTTTTAGCCATGACTATGATGTCATTTTCTATTTTAATACCTTTATGATGTAATTTCCATTTTTAGATATTACTGTTAAATGATGCTGATTAAGGGTTTTTTGCTATGTTTAGCCATGACTATGATGTCATTTTCTATTTTAATATCTTTATGATGTATTTAAATGGGCTTTTATGGTTACAAAGGAATTTTATTTTTAGATATTACTTTAAATGTTGCTGATTAAGGATTTTTGTTTATTTTTAGCCATGACTATGATGTCACTTTCTATTTTAATACCTTTATGATGTATTTAAATGGGCTCCCATGTATTTAGATTTTTGATTATTTATACATGTTACCAAATTGGTCCACATTGAACAAAAACGGTCCAAATTTCAACTTTATTACATTACATCAAACATTGAATTCTACATATTCTTTGATATATTGAAATTAACAAACAATTTAGTTTATGGATATTCCACCATAATAGGTAAATTAAATTTTTTCCAGTTCTTACACCACATTCATCCTGTGTCAGAAACCTATGCTGTGTCAAATATTTAATGACAATCCAAAGTCATAGCTGTATCAAGCTTGAATTTTGTGTCCATACTTGCCCCAACTGTTCAGGGTTCGACCTCTGCGGTTGTATCAAGCTGCGCCTCAGCGAAGCATTTTATTGGTTATTATCTTGAATATTATTATAGATAGAGATAAACTGTAAACAGCAATAATGTTCAGCAAAGTAAGATCTACAAATAAGTTGTCATGACCAAAATTGTCAGTCGACCCCTTTAGGAGTTATTGCCCTTAATAGTCAATTTTTAACAATTTTTCGTAAATTTTTGTAATCTTTTACAAAAATCTTCTTCTCTGAAACTACTGATACAAATTTAACCATACTTGGCCATAATCATTATTAGGGTATCTAGTTTAAAAAATTTGTCCGATGACCCCGCCTTCCAACCATCATGGCCAACCAACTTGGTTAAAAATAGAACATAGGGGTTAAATGCAGTTTTTGGTTTATATCTCTGAAACTAAAGCATTTAGAGCAAATCTGACAGGTAGCAAAAATGTTCATCAGATTTAGATTTATCTGCCCTGAAATTTTCAGACAAACCGACGACCCATTTTGGGTTGCTGCCCCTGAGTTAGTAATTTTACAAAAATTTTGCAGTTTTTTGTTATTATCTTAGATATCATTATAATATCTAATATCTAATACTATTAATTATGATTTTAACCTTATTTTACATGATTTCCAAAGCATCAGTAAATACAGGTGAGCGACACAGGCTCTTGAGAGCCTCTAGTTGACATTTTTACCTATTATGTCTGTTTGTTTTGTTCACACATTGTTGTCAATATAATGGAATTTTATGTGACTGTCATACAAGTGAGAAGTTTAGCTAGCTATTAAACAAGGTGTTATCCACCATTTTCTATATAAGGAATTGCCTGTACCAAGTCAGGAATATGACAGTTGTTTTGATAAGGGACTTTCTGTTTTGAATTTTCATTGGAGTGTGGTATTTTTGTTATTTTACTTTTTTCAGAGATTAAGATCTTTACAAACATGACAAATAGTACATCTCATTTGACCAACAATTACAGATAAAACACTGTTGGCATATTGTAAGAACTTGTATTAAAAGCCACACTAAAGAGGTCTTAGTATATTGATGCCAATGTTAAGACTAAAATATAGTAATTCAGCTATCCTTTCTTTAAAAAAATGTGCCATAGTTTATGTTTATGATTTAAGTTTGAATAAAAGGAGATGTTGGGAAATATGTCAAGGAGACAACAACACAAAAAGCCCAAATATATTTAGAGGTCAACATAACAGTCCTCAATAATAACAAACAAACTTTGATTTGATAATATTAGTAATACACTAATATTTGGAATATTATAAGTGGAATTTGAGTAGAAATAAATATTTATTTAAATTGTCAGTATTGATTGATATGCAGTTTATTATTTCATTGAATTTACCACTGGACGTTAGGCAAACATTGTTCAATCTATCTTTTCATTAAAATTCAACACATTGTACAGTACAAAAAAAGTATACATGTTTGTGCAATTAAATCCATTATATGAATCTTAGAACAATTATAATAAGCTAACTTTAAATAATCATGTTGTAAGCATTTTAAATTTTTTGCTCTTTTTTTTTGTAGTTGAAGACACCAGTTGACCTAAAGAAGTTGAACGTTGATAAATTTCTAACTAAACTCTACAAAAGCTGAAGTTGATCCCAGTTAAGAAAGGATAGTTTCACATACAATAATCTCCAATATGGGAGATATGAACCTTCTGCATGTAATGCAAAAAAGTGCAATGAAAACTTTTGTTATAAACATGTTATACACATACAATTGAAAGCTGTTGATAATTTTATTTACTGTTTATGCTATTTATTTATTTAATACCTTTAATTATTTGAAGAAAAAAAGAAATTATGATTGAAATACTTTTGGATTTTATGTTCCAATTTGCATTACCATAAATTTTTTAAGTAAAATTATTATCTACTTTAAATGAGTCAATCTCATAGCACCATCATGGAATAAGAAAATCATTTGTGTATTGCCTACAATGAAAGTCAGGGTAGGTGAACTCATAGCACCATCATGGAATAAGAAAATCATTTGTGTATTGCCTACAATGAAAGTCAGGGTAGGTGAAACTTACATATAATTATTCCTGTTGCAACAGTCTTCATGAAACAATATTTCAAAATACCTAAATCATTCCACCCCAATCTTTCAATCCCAATTTTACTTGATGTTTATGATGAAAGCTTGTTAAATTTTCAGGATTGGGTCTGTTCATTTTACATAATTTGGAATGCAAATTGGTTGTTTGCCATTAGGCTTTGACCTCATTTTTTTGTCATGTGTAATAATCCCTTATTTTGAGTAATAGGATAACTATATTTGGTATATGGGATCCTTGCAAGGTCTACATGTCTGTCAAACAGGGTTCACCTGACCTCGACCTCATTTCATGGATCAATGATCAAGGTTAAGTTTTCTTGGCCAAGTATGATCTCCGACAATTTTATTACACATTTTTTTGTCACCTATTCCCCTGAACACAGCAGGTGGTCTGATCAGGGACCCGAATGTCAAGTATGTTAGACATCTAAAAATGCCCAGTGTGTACAGTACCATAAGCAATAGATCAACTATAGTTGGTGTATGGAATGATTGTATGGTGTACATATCAGACTGGCAGGTTTTATCTAACCTTGACCTCATTTACATGGTTTTTGGTCAATTTTAAGTTTTGGTGGTTTGGTCTGTTTCTCAAATACTATAAGCAATAGGACGACTATATTAGGTGTAAGGAATGATTGTAATGTGTACCATACATGTCTATCAGGCAGGGTTTATCTGACCTTGACCTTATTTCATGGTCAATCGTGAATGTTAATTTTTTGGTGGTTATGTCTTTCTCAGATTCTATAAGCAATAAGTCAGCTATATTTGGTGTGTTGAATAATTGCATGGTGAAGCTGTCTGGCAGTGCTCATTTGACCTTGACTCATTTTTATGGTTCATTGAACAATATAAAAATAAGGAGATGTGGTATGATTGCCAATGAGACAACTATCCACCAAAGTACAAATGAAGTGGATGTAAGCAATTATAGGCAACCATACAGCCTTCAACAATGAGCAATGTTTCTAATATGATGTAAACAATAGACTCACTATATTTGATGTTTGGTATGATTGTAAGGTGTTCATGTCTGTCAGGCCTCTGACTGGACCTGACCTAGACCTCATTTCCATGAATAATTTTAAGTTTATTTGTAGTAAAACCTTCATATTAAAGACTTCCAACATAACTTCAATCACAATATGTAAAGCAGGCATGAGTGGTGCACTGTTGTTAGGAATAGATCTCTTATCCATTACTCATATGATATAGTATGAAAGTTTTATGTATGTCAATTTATTACATGTACATGTAGCTGAATATGATCATACAGGTCATATGTGACCATGACCTCAATGTCAGTGTTAATTGCTTTACATAATCAAATATATTAGTTTGGCAACTCTTGTATGAGATGAGGTTTTATTTAAAACATTGCAACAAATGTAATGATTTACAAAAATTTAACATAGTTTTTATTTTACTTGAGTTGATTTATTTCTATTTTTTTTATGGTAGCAAATTTTTTCAATGACAAGGACAAAATTGAGTTTACTGTATTTTTTTATACAAAAATTTCTCTTTTGATATTGTCTTCTGATGGTATTAAAATTGTTAAACTTTATTTGAGTAATTTTTAATTGCATTCTGTGAATATCATGAGAATTGCTCAATATATGTGTATATATATGATTCAACGAGAAGTTGGATAAAGGTAATTTATTCCCTGCTCTTATACTTTAAAGTTATGACTTTAATGTTAAAACAAGGAATTATTTGAATCTGGAATAATTTTGAATTCTGGAAAATTGATTAGAAATGTATGATGAAAACTAACCCAACTAAATAGGGTTAGCCATGCGTGCATGGCTAAGGTTAATTTTACTTTCACTATCATTTCAGTATGAACTAACTGACCCACCTTAGCCATGCGTGCATGGCTAACCCTATTTAGTTGGGTTAGTTTTCATCATATATTTCTCATCAATTTTCCAGAATTCAAAATTATTCCAGATTCAAATAATTCCTTGTTTTAAGTTCAACCAAAATAAATGTTATTTCTATACACACTTGAGTTTGCATTTAATTTTTGTTTTCTCTAAAACTATTATTTGATGACTGTCTCTACAGATCAGAGTTTTTAGAAAGAACATTTGAATGAATGAAGGATGGAATTTTTTAGTTAAAAAAAAGGAAGAAAATACCAGTGTGAAATCGAAGTCCACAAGTTGAAGCAAGATGGACAATTCCTTGGATAATAGAAATAAAATAGAAATTAAGTCTAGGAGAACAGGATTTATTTATTGGCTGTTGTTGCCTTTGAGCTAGCTTTAAGTAACTGCTTGTACTCTTAGATTGGTACTTTGTGTCTTTTGTCTTTATCTTAGTTGTTATTTCTGCCAATCTGATGCGTCAGGCCATTTCCAACGTTTGTTTATAGTTTTTAAAGGCAGTGCCTTAATGCCTTTAATGGTATCCGGCAATAGCCATTTCATTTCTATGTGGGGAGTAAATTTGTCATCACAAAAATCCCGAAAAAGTGGAATTCTTTGTTCATCTATAATATTTATGATATTCTGAATTTTTAGCTCACCGTTCCAAAGGAATGGTGAGCTTTTGCCATCACTTGGCGTCCGTCGTCTGTCGTCGTCCGTCGTCGTCCGTCTGGTGTAAACTATTTCAAACATCTTTTCCTCGGAAACTACTGAACCAATTCCAACCAAACTTAAGCTGAATGATGCTTAGGGTATCTAGAATAAAGTTTGTGTTTTATTTACTGTTTCGTCTAATAAAATGGCCGCCATGGCTAAAAATAGAACATAGTGGTAAAATGCAGTTTTTGGCTTATATCTCAAAAACCAAAGCATTTAGAGCAAATCTGACATAGGGTTTAAGTGTTTATTAGGTGAAGTTCTATCAGCCCTGAAATTTTCTGATAACCCATTGTTGGGTTGCTGCCACTAAATTGGTAATTTTAAGGAAATTTTGCAGTTTTTGGTTATTATCTTGAATTGTATTAATGATAAAGATAAACTGTGAACAGCAAAAATGTTCAGCAAAGTAAGATCTACAAATAAGTACGATGACCAAAATTGTCAATTGTCCCCTTAAGAAGTTATTGCCCTTTAAAATAAATTTTTCACAATTTGTTCATTTAGTTTGCTTACTTAAAAAAATCTTCTCCTTTGAAACTGCTGAATCAATTTCAGCCAAACTTGGGCTGAATGAGTTTCAGAGTATCTAGTATAAATTTTGTATTTTATTTTCTTGTACGTCAAGAAACATAGCCACTATGGCCAAAATGAAACATAGGGGTAAAATGCATTTCTTTGATTTTGAAGAAAATATGACAGATACAAAGAACATTTCAATGGAAGTTTTAAGCCATTCATTAATATATATTGAAAAGCAAAAATAATCATTGATGAAAGATTTAAGCAAAAAATTACAGGTGAGCAATTCAGGCTCTTGAGAGCCTCTTGTTTATTGTACCGGTAATTCATATACACTGGGCATTAAAGAATCGAACATTGTTTTTTATTAGTTTTCAAAACTTTCGATAGAGTTGCGTTTTGCATTATGAACAGTCAACCGTTTCACATACTGGAATTACTAAAAAATCCATGTGAAAGAGTTCTGGTTTATTTCGAGTGGTATTTTAATCTTAAGTTATTAAGATCGTTTCAGTCATTGATATAATAATGAAAAGTCGACTGAACTATGCCTAGTCGCCACATGTCAAATATAAATCAGGTTTATCGGGAATCTGATTAATTTTCTTTTTCTCATCAGAACATTTGGTACCTCCACTTGCAGAAATCCGCCTAAACTATCAATATCCATCTGGAATTTTTCAGAGCTATTGAAAATTGTCCGACCGTCTGACATAGCTTTCATGCGAGACCCTTTGTCAGGTAAACAATTTGATCTATTAGGTCCGATATAAGATTTTTTAAATCCGAAACGAACAGTGCCAGAGTTGACAACCGGGAATCCTGTGAAAAGTTCCATACACTCGGGTTTTTATATGACTGTAAAAATATCTTTGGGGTCGAATATTGCTATCACGTCGTCGTCGTTGTCCAAAGACATTTGGTTTCCGGACAATAACTTTAGTTTAAGTGTATGGATCTCTTTGAAATTTAACCAAAAGGTTCAATACCACAAAAGGAAGGTTGGGATTGTTTTTGTGGGGTGATGGTCCCAACCGTTTAGGAATTAGGGGCCAAAAAGTGGCCAAAAAGAAGCATTTTTCTAGTTTTCAGACAATAATTTGTGTTTAAGTGTATTGATGTCTCTTAAATTGTACCACATTTTACAAAAAGAAAATTTCTTCAAATGTTATTTTTCTTGGAAAGGGGAAAATGGGGGGGGGGGGGGGGGGGGGGGGGTTTCCTCAAGATTTAAGAAATTGTCAATTTTCTGAAGAAAAATTTGGGGTCACAATTTATTTTGCTAATTCTTTGTATATAGTCTGAAAACAGATTTACTAAGTATTGCGCAACAGCACAGTGTATTGCACAAAAGCAAGAAATCTTCAATTGAATATAAATTCAAATCATATAACCAATTTCAAGTTCTTTGACTACAATTATTCTCTGTCAGAAACCTTTAATGTGTCAAATATTTAATTACAATCAAAATTCAGACCTGTATCAAGCTTGAATATTTTGTCCATTTTTGCCCCAACTGTTGGACCTCTGCGGTCGTATCCAGCTACGCTCGGCGAAGCAGTTTATTACCTCTATAAATTGAAGATGTAAAAATCCGAGAGTACCGAACTTATCGGGTTTAACGGACATTACGCAGCTTACAAGTGTTTATTTTAACCCCGGCCCAATGCCAATTAACAAGTGATAATAGTTTGATTGAACGAAAAACAGATGATCGAATATTAATTTCTAGATATGTCTTCTGTTTATGACACACGCCAAAGATGATTAAAGTAAATACCGGCATTGATATAAAAGTGGAATCTTGTCAAGTTGTTGTCACTGGAACATCGATCGAAAGGTTTTGATGCCGAAACTTTTTTTAATAAACTTTCAACTCATCGAAAAATGCTCACTATTTCACATTCCAATGCGGACATTAAAGGACCTCCCATGCCCAAGAAGTTCCGAACTGACAGATTAACAACTACACAAACTGTTACAAGGATTACGATTACCTTAGTACAGAGTCAAGTGTATTATAGTATTAAAGGCAGCCAAGTTGGCATGTACTTCTTATATGGCCCAGTGTTCCAAGACCAGTGCTTTAGTTATTAAATAACAATGTAATATATATATAGGCAGAGACATATAATACAATATGTCTCTGATATAGGCAGTGCTTTTATAGCTACAATGTAATATATTTTAAAGTGTTTGAAGCACAGCAGTAAGTGACTACACAATTCATTTATATGTACCCTATTCTCTTCCTTTAGAATCGCTGACATACCAGACAATGTTCCGCATACACAAATATAGGCTTGTATACCCATCTCTGTCGTGAAATTATATTTTCTGTCTTGACTCTTGCCATCCAGGCATAATTCGGAGCACTCTTAACCTTGATCTTTCAAATAAAGTAAATATTTCTGAAGACATGCTCAAGAATTGTATATAATTTAACTGAAATTGTGTTATTTTATTTAATCCACCAAAAGTACATCACAGTAATTTGGCCTGAACATTGAAGTTGATATTTATATATTTATATATTCCTATGTACATGGTAAAATCCATTGTAATACATTTACTAGCACAAATAGAGGACTGCTCATATTGCAACCGTACTTGAATCACTATCTGAAGCAGCTTTACATCCTTTTAAAGTTACCAGACTAACATACATAACAAGAATATAGTTGTGTCATTTTTTGTCGGGAGTTCGACATTGACAATCACAAACAATACACGTTATTGGTGATCTGGCATGGCAATTTCTTGGAGTCATAATTGGAATTATTAACTTTTCTGCTCGGAGTAATTTTTTTTGAAGAATAATGATTTTCTTGCTACTAGTGGACTCTTCGAGATGCATTATATTACTCAATGTTTTTGAGATAAATTCGCACCAAGCCATCATGATGAACTGGAATGTTTTCTTTTGAAAACCAAATTGACCCTAAATAGTCAATTGCACTTTTTTTTTTAGTGTAAATGAAAAACAATTTGTTTCTCGAAAAAGTCAATTATAAGTTGCTCTAGAGCTGGTAAAATCAATTTAAAAGACATTGCAATAATATGTTATTTGGAAATGCAATGTAGCATTACAATTTACTAGCCATAAATGGCATAATAATTGAAAATGTGTATTAATATCTGATATTGTTAGCCTTTCCTGAAAAGTAATATGTTTGATTATAATCAATGTGGACTATAAAATCACAAAACCTGTAGGTAACTGCCTTCACAGCGCATTCGCGCTTTGATTTCTGATGTGCTGTCACATTTTATATATGCCTGTCCCAAGTCGGGACCTGTCATTCTGTGGTTGTCATTGGTAACTGTCTTTTATATTTGTTTTTTGTTTATTGTTTTGTCATAAATAACTAAAGGCTGTTGGTTTTTTGTTTGACTTGTTTTACATTTGTCATGTCTGCTGACTATACAGTATATGTTCTGCTCATTGTTGAAGTTAAGTTGCCTTAATGTATGTCATTTGAACTAGTAGTAGTTGTTTCACTCCACATCTCCATATTTTATGACACGAAAAATTAAACCAAATGTAGGATCTTTATTTCGTTCCTGGCATAAAGAATCATACTCATTTATGTGATAAACAATTATTTGTGAAATAAACTGAACAAAGATCCTGCATATGATAAAGACTCCTTCTAGTACTGGTGGTCTCTTGGTGGTAGCGTGTTTGTCGTACCTTTAAGGTAAAGACTGGAAAATTGGCATTTGCTGCATCTCCAAGAGGCACATGGCATTCAGGAGTGGGAGCAAAGACTAGCCAACCCACAACCCACATTCATAAAATTGTGTCCAGGTAGGGTCACATGTCTTCCTAACAAACCAGAAACATGGTTTATACCTGTATCACGTTAACAGCATGTTCCTGTCCTTGCAACTGGATGGTAAACAAAAGTTATCCATCCTTCGAAAGTTTTACTGTTACTTTTCAGAGCAAAACCCTGTCATGACTTCTGTAACATTATAATTTTTTTCTACTTGAAATCGGGTTTATTGTTGAATCCTATGTATAGGATGATTAAGTGTTACAAGTTCATTGAGGTTTCCCTATTTGTATATTTAAAATTAAGACTGACCTTGTCCACTCCATTGTTTTATAAAGTCAAAAAAATTGTTACATTTAGTAGCACTATAGTCTTGAAACATACGTACAGACAGACAGACAATAGGAACACATCTGTAGTCATCTGTATTATGTAGATATTCCATAACTGTCAATCAAATCATGATGGCGTCCTTGCCACTAGGAACCCTTTGTTTAATAGCCTCCTTGTAAACAGCACCCTTCTATCAAGAATATAAAAGGAAACGCAAGCTCTAGAATATCGTATCACCTTGTAGATATAAACTCCATATACAGGCGCTTCTGGAATGTTGTAAAGTGCAACTTCACAATAGAAAAGCCTAAATCATTTCTTTTGTCGTAAAGTTTAGTTGTTTTAAAAAGCCTCTTCTTGTCAAACATAGACCAGACGTATGATTTGCAGGATTTCTTTTTTTGTAAGTCTCGTAGGAGATAAGGTTGATTTCCCAAGTTAATTGTCAATTCCTAATTCCTTTATCAAGCAGTTTAAATAATATTTTGTAAAAAATCACTGATTCAAACAAAAAATTCTCTGACACTGACATTATCAAGATGCTAGATTTCTTGATTACGTTTGGAGGACGTGTTTTTCAACAAACAATCGTCATTCCCATGGGAACCAACTGTGCCCCTCTTTTTGTCTACTTGTTCCTTTATTCATATGAGGCTGATTTTATACAGGAACTTCTTAGGAAGAAAGAAAAGAAGTAAGCAGTATCCTTTCACTTTACTTTCCGATATATAAATGATGGTCTCTCACTAAATAATTCAAAATTTGGTGACTATGTTGAACGCATCTATCCCATCGAACTTGAGATAAAGGTAACAACAGACACAGTTAAGTCTGCCTCATATCTTGACTTACATCTAGAAATTGACAATGAGGGTCGGTTGAAAACAAAGCTTTACGACAAAAGAGATGACTTCAGCTTCCCAATTGTGAACTTTCCATTTCTATGCAGCAACATTCCAGCAGCGCCTGCATACGGAGTATATATCTCACAGTTGATACAATATTCCAGGGCTTGTATTTTCTATCATGATTTCCTTGATAGAGGGTTGCTGCTCACAAGGAAGCTATTAAACCAAGAATTCCAAGTGTTGTAGTTGAAATCATCCCTTCTTAAATTTTACGGACACCATCACGAGTTGGTTGACCGCTATGGAATATTCGTTTCACAGATGATAGCGGATATGTCCCTAATGTCGTAACTACAACCCCGCCCCCTTTTCCCGAATGTGACCTACCGAATTAGACTTATTACCGGGTGTGTACTAACATGAGCAACACGACGGGTGCCACATGAGGAGCAGGATCTGCTTACCCTTCCGCAGCACCTGAGATCACCCCCAGTTTTTGGTGGGGTTCGTGTTGCTCAGTCTTTAGTTTTCTATGTTGTGTTTTGTGTACTATTGTTTGTCTGTTGGTATTTTTCTTTTTTAGCCATGGCGTTGTCAGTTTATTTTCGACTTATGAGTTTGAATGTCCCTTTGATATTTTTCGCCTTCTCTTTTTAAACAATTTGATTTACAAACAAAAACAAATGTGTTGCGGCCTTGTTTGTGGGGACAAAATCATATTTGTCTTGTAGGAAGGACAGGACATTTGAGCTTTTAAAGATAGAAACACACATTATGAATTATAGACTGATAAAAAAATAAAAATGCTCCAACAGACTACATCAGATGAGTTATTATAATTGTGTATTGTTTGGTTAATACCCATTATCTCTTTTATTATCATCATTACAGTTTTGTAATAAAATTTAAACTTTTTAACTATTCCTCATGCACAACTGAAACATCGACTTCCTTCTAATTAAACAGTTTTTTCTCTTCTAAAATAATAATTTGGAAATCGTTGAAACAAACTTCTTGTTAGATTCCAACAGCAAATACGAAAAACATCAAACTGGTCGACTTTGATTGACAACATATTTGTTGAGTTTGGTGGATTGATATTAAAAACAATCGGTTTTTCAACCGGTACTAATTATGCACCTCTTCTGGTCCGATATGTTTTTTTTGTAAATGAAATACAATTCATACAAAACCTCATCAAGGACAATAGAAAAAGCGTCTTGCGTCAAAGTTCTTTAACTATCACTTTCAGATACTATTATATTGATGTTGTCTTTTCACTCAATAACCCAGATTTCAGAGATAGCTTGCATCTCATATACTAGTATCACAGTGAACTTGAGGACATCTGGATCTTTCTTTTGGTATTTACACAGATGTACGACTTCATACTAGGATTTATGACAAACATGACGATTTCAGCTTTCCGTTTGTCAACTTCTCATTTCTAAGCAAAAACACACACTCTGTCCTATGATATAAGTTAAACATATAAAAATAAGGAGATGTGGTATGATTGCCAATTAGACAGCTATCCATCAAAGTTCAAATGAAGTGGATGTAAGCAACCGCACGGCCTTCAGCAATGAGAAAACCCCATACCGTATACGTATATCCGGCTCTGAAAGGCCCCGACGTGAAAAATATGACACAATTCAATTGAAAAAAGTAACGGCCTAATTTATAACAAATCAATTTAAGAAAATACAAATATAACAGACATGAACCAACGACAACAACTGAACTACAGGCTCCTGACTTGGGACAGGCACATAAAGAATGTGGCGGCGTTAAACATGTTTGCAGACGCCAAACCCTCCCCCTAACCTGGTACAGTGGTGTAACAGTACAACATTATAACAAAAAATAAAAATCAGTTGGAAAGGTCCTCAGATCGATACAAAGCACACAAAAATAAACTGATAAAAACACAAAAGACACAAAGAACAGATCTGAGAGTACACGCAGTTACTGGAAGCTAGTTCATAGCAAATAACAACTTATAAAAAAAAATCATATATCTAAGAGTAACATGTACTTAATAAAACTGTATTCTGAGGCATTTTTGCACCCATATATATTAGCGGATTTATTTGATTATGTTGATTACTTTGTAACATGCTCCACGGTGAGTTTTGAGTGTCTACTGTCAACTATTACATTGATGTTAACTATAATTAATGGCATATATAATGTTAGTCGACACGTAGGTTTAGTTATAATATACGGTATATATATAAAGTTATTTCAGCTGCTGTATCTCAAGTTGTTAATTAGGTCTTTCCACTTTTCTGTGGAAAGACCTATTGTATTTGTTCTGATTATTATTTTTTTCTTCCGTCAAATTTTGTTATCGCGTAAAATTTTTGTTTCGCAATATGTTGCTAAGATATTTCTTATATAGTATCATACAGTTTATGCGCTTTTTATTTTCACCCATTCTAAGCCGAACAATTTTCTTTGTAAGAGTTATCTCCCTATTCACTGTTTATCAAGTGTGTGCATCTCCTTTGTAACAAAAAAAAAGATATCGACAAAATTCTTTATCTAAATTGTTCGTTACATCCTCAGGAATTTTTGGCTAATTGGATTCGAAGCGATTCGATGAAATTTTAAAGGAGTTATCTACCTTTACCAAATAAATATGTCGGTTTGTTTTTTTAACTCATAAACCGTTAACCGTATAACCCTGGAATCTTTTAATTTGAGGTCCCTAGGTCCTAACTTAGAAAATGAGGTCAAAGGTCAGGATCAAGTTCTCAATTTTGACTTTTCCTTTTTTTTTTGCATTTTCTCAAACACTTTTAAAGATATGTATGAATCAACAAGTGCAAAATGTTTACTTTATTGTAATGAAGATATGTTACATTTGGTCTGAAACGATCTAATGGCATCTTATAGGAGTAAGTGCCCCTGAAATGTCCAATTATAAGGTTAATTGATTATTACTTCAACTTGGTTCATTATAAAGCCATATGACCTTTTACAAAAGGTTGGATGAAATATGACCTTGAAAAATGACAACCGGAAGTGACCTTGAGAAAACCGGAAGTAGCCATTTTTGCACTTTCTTCATGGAAAAGTACTCGGAATCCATATATTTTGTAATTTTAATACATTAACTTATCACTGAAGACTAAAAATCACTTTCGATAAACCGGAAGTGGCCAATTATCTCCTGGTTTACAAGCAAAAGTATATAGAAACTATATATTTTTGGAATCAGTGTGAAAGAAACTATTATATGAGACCGGAAGTGACATCTACTTCACCGGAAGTAGCTTATTATCTCCCTTATTTCACTCAGAAGTATATAGATTTACCTTTTATTAATATAAAGTCTTATTTGACATTCAATTAATAAATTATGATATATGCCTCATTTTTATAACTTCATACATTGCTTCTGTTGCATTCTATGTTTGTTTTTCCAATTCACTTGAATTTAAATAACTACATAAGTAATAATTCTGTACTATTAGAAGACCAAATTTGATACTGAAAGTACAAACATATTATCCATAAAGAGCAAAGCCAAGCATCCAAATCATAAAATTTACAAAACAAATGAAAAATTTCTTTTGTGTTAGTTATAACTCGTATACGCGAATTTCCTCTGTCTCTGTTCAAACTGACCAAATCACCATTCGTGTTGAAACCTAGAATTAAAAAAATAACCTTAATCAAATTCCTTAACGTACAGAATTCTGACTTGATAAATTAAAAATATTGAGAATGATAAAAGTGATCGAGATAGAGCAATCTGTGTAGTAAATGTTAAACTTTTTTCTTCTATTCATTGACAAAAACAGCTTTACTTTTATCCTCCTTTTATAATGCACATACAAACTATTCATGGAACGACCATGGTTAATGAATTGGACTGAAACTTTGTTACAGCATAATCACAATAAATGCATATTTAATAGTCCTTCTGAGTTCAAAATTTTATACAAATTAAGTTCCAAAAACTGACTTGTAGATTTTGCTCAGTAATGAATTTTAAAACTGTACAACGAAAATACAATTATTTCACATCTGGAAAATTCTGCCCATTCTTCCTGATTTTGTTGTTGTTGGCAGATCTGATATTTCTGTTTATTTTTGAAAAACTTTTATAGACTATGGGATTTGGTTGCTATGTCGTTGACGGTTACCCGGATGCTCCTTCAATTGATAACCTGCGTTAACCATATAATTGCCTATGATGAAGGGAAGAATGAAAGTATGAAAATTAACAGACAAATGCATGTGAGAAAGTTTCTAATCATACTCAGTTAGATCACACTTGAAAAAAATATAAATCAATTCATACCATTTGAGCTACTGCAGTTGCCTGAAATAATGCAGGGATAGGAAAATTCTTATCAGTTGTTTCTTCATTATTATTTGAATTAAAATTTCCAAGCAAAGTGAGGGTTAAAAGACGTTTCCCTTAAGATTGGATGACCGTATACAAGACGTTAGGAAACATTTCCCGGTAACACCGGACTTAAGTCTTGTAAAACATGATTTATTTATTAGTTGTAATTGGCTTTGAACTAGTTTCAGTAACTGCGAGTACTCTTAATTCGGTTTTTTTTTGTGGCTATCGATTTTATGTTAGTTGTTTTTGTGTCTCATACCGATCTTTTGAGTTAAGCAAATGCAACTGATATTTTCAGTTTGTTCTTATGTTGTGCTGTAATACCAATGTCCCAGGTTAGGAAGGGTTGAGTGCTCAAAGCATGTTTAACCCCTCCACATTCTTATGTGCCTGTCCCAAGCCAGGAGCCTGTAGTTCAGTGGTTGTTGTTGGTTCATGTCTGTCATATTTGTTTTTAGTAAATTCTTTTGTTATATTTTCCTCAATTGCATTATTTCACATTTTCATGTCGGGACCTTTTATAGCAAACTATACGGTATGGGTTTGTCTCATTGTTGAAGGTCGTGCGGTTGCCTTTAATTGCTTACATCCACTACATTTGAACTTTGGCAGATAGTTGTCTCATTGGCAATCATACCACATCTCCTTATTTTTATGTAGACTCGTTAAGCGTATGATAAATGAACATTTTAAATTATTGACTTTAAAACTCGGGACGGAAACCACATGTAGATTTTAAAAAACCTCCCAACTCAAAACTTTAGATGTCGCCTGCAAGTTTGATGCTAATTATATATGACAAGGCTAAGTTTTAATTGTGGTCTGTTTCCATATTTTTTAATTGATAATTTTTGTACCCTTTCACTTTTTCGCTGTCTTTGACCTTGAATGGTCATATAAATATGATAATTTTTCCATTTCTTGGCACACAGCGATTCAGGTTTTTTATTTAAACGACGGATGTGGGTTTCCTCTAAATAAAACCAACAAGTGGAGCAAGAATCAGAACAGTAAGAAGAAAAAATCAGTCTGGATGTTGAAAAGACTTTACAAAAAATACAGAATACTTAATCATAACAATGAACTATCTTACTATTGAGGTAAAACTATCCGGATTAATATAAGAGATTCAGTTTTGTTGATTTTTATTTTTTTTCTGATTTCTTTCAGTTGTGTAGATAGGCAGTTGGGGAGATTTTTTCAAACGCAACATTGGTCCATTTTGTTCCTTGCCATGCAGGTCAAGCAATCTTGATTGTATATCTTTGTTTGTTTGTCTTTTTTCTCTGAAGGTCACGACTTGAATGGTGTGTTATGTTGCAGTGTCGAGTATTTTTGGTAGTTCTAGTGATTCTTTTTATGATTACTTTATTATTTACATAATATTTGCTTAATTTTGATAAATATGCCAATGTCACTTACCCTTCTAGTGTATGTTTTGCGTCAAAACCCATAATAAATACCAAACACCAAAGCGATCAAAACACATAGGCTTTCAAATTCAACTTGCCTTTTGCCTGAAATTATTTATATACTTCGTGCAAACACATTACCAAAAGAAGAGAAACATAAGGTGTGCAATATTCACGAAAATATCTATGCTTCTTGTTAATGATAAATATATCTAAATAAACGTGAGAAAAAACTGAGAAGAATAACAATTTCATCGGAAGGTAAAAAGCATGATACTCTTCCATAATTATTAAACTTATTCCTTTTGTTTGTACAGATGATTCACTAACCGTCCATTATCTAAAAAAAGCTTAGCCCAAAATTAATGACAATTAAATTTGAAAAATATAAATAATGACGGTTATGAAAACCGTATGTCAGCAACAAAATTGCAAAAACAGTTGATACCGAGTTGAAGCGCTACATTATCGACAAGTAAAGTAAATTATAACTTAATTTAAAAAAAAAATATATATTGTTGCATCTTCACACCTAACTGTGTATTAAATTTTAAATCGATTTGACAGACAGTATTTCAACTAACCGACATTTTTGCAGTTTTTGGTAGGGCTTGTATAGTCTTTGATAACAAAGTCTTTAGATCCTACAGTGCATGTAATCTTTAATTTTTTAATGCACACTGAACCAATGCTTTCTTCAACTGTTATGTTTGTCGAATAAAATACACCAACATGATGCGACCTTGTTTTTATGGACTTTGACTTGGCCGAGTATTTCTCCTGAAAGATTAAATAAACTTTAGTTTAGTGTTTAATATATGTGAATAAAAGGAATATGAGCGTATATGTCATTGAAATAGCAGACCTCCCCCCCCCCAAAAAAAAAAGTATAAACTTTCTGTTTTAAAAGCAGAAGTAAGGAAATTGCGCTTTGTGCATAAATGTTAAGCTTCAAAATAAATGTGTACAGTGCAAATGAAATAATTTTAGACTGAATGGTTCTAGAAGTTTTAAAAATGTCGATCTGAACCTAATAAATTACAGCTTATTCAAATTTTAAGTCATTTTACATATAATTCACGTCAGGAAAATTGACTTGTCCGAACAATACTGTCTTTACGACAAAAGATATTTTCTGGAAACTGACCGAAGTATGAACATCACTATATGTTTGTGATCCCCCCCCTGATAAATAGGTGTCTACCTAGATAGAAATGTTGTATTCATATTCCATGATAGGAGTTTGTTTGATAAATAACATTAACAGAACTTAGGTAACCGATTGAAATTAACTAAATGAGAAATAAGTTATATTTTCAGAAAGGATATGAAGAAAAAACATACCAAATGCCATTTATTCTTCAGCTAAAAATGCTAAACAAACTGGTACTTTCTGGTCTTATAAGAACCACGTAAGTGTAATATAATGCTCGGAACAATATGTCATACAGGAAATTCAACTTTGCCTGCATCTGTGGATATGCGTTCAGCATAGTCACTTAATGAAAGGACATCATCTACATAGTGGAACGTGTAGAAATAGGATAATACTAGCTTCTTTTCAGCACTCGTAAGAAGCTCATGTATGAAGACTGCCTCATATGAATGAAGGAACAAGTCGACAAGAAGAGGAGTACAGCTATTTTTCATGGGAATGCCGATTGTTTGTTGAAAAAAAACACTTTTCCAAAACGCAAGCATCTTGACAGTATCAGTTTAAGAGATTTTTTTTGTTCGAATCAGAGTTTTTTTGTTTGTTGCTGTTTTTATAAGAAACTACGGTTTTCCCCTGCATTTAACACGATAATTGTTTCTACAATGGCCATTCTTTTTATTGAATCACAAAATTCTTTCAATCTTTTTTAAGTTTGAAATGGGGAATTCTCGTGTAAAGGGTTAAAAAGTCAAATGTTTTTATACTAATGAAAGAGGAAAGAGATTTTGCCTGTGTGTAATATAACAGATCTTTGGAATTTTTTAAGTATCCGCATCTGATTCTCTAAAGTAGGTCGTTTTACAATAACTCTAAAGCCCGGCTTTGGCTGCTGTTAAAACTAATGTAAATACTTTGGAAAGAGGTTTCACGGAACACTAGGAAGACACAGCAATATATCATTGTTTGTAAGGACACAAATGTAATTTAGGTATCCAATACAGGGAAGAAAGATCTAGTTTTTCATCTTTGATTGGAATTCTAATCAGTATTTTAAAGCTGGGTTTCAAATTGATTGATTTAGGATCGCGACGTTTCAGGCCTTTGGATAACATAATTAGCAGAGATGTATTATTGACAATCTTCAGGTCATCAGTAATAACGTGACCCACTGACAAGCCGAACTATATATGAATGGAGAACTAGGACAGTTGCAATCACGAGGTTTATGATTGAAGCCGTCAATGTTGATATGCAACACGTGTTTGTAATTGAAACTTTATAGGATGAAGAAATGATATGTACAAACTGATCAATAAAGTAGGAATGTGTTTTCGTTTTAACTGATTTATGATGAAGGATATTGCCTAAGTTGATGGCATCGAGATTTTGTTTACAAGGGAATGTTTTAGAAAGGATGTTTTCTTCGTTCATCTTTTCCAATGCAAACCGGTCTAAAACGTCTTTGACTGGCAATATCCGAGATGATAGCTGTGAGCTTGAATTGGTTTGAATGGAGATTAGAAACAGTGGTTATTTTGATAAGTATATACACATAATACTCCTTATTGATAGGATCCGCTTCCAAAGTTTCAAGCAGCACAGCGCAAGTGCTTTATGGTTGAATTACAAACAAAGCTACGAAACTGTACTATATTGTTTGCCTTACACATGTTACATATTGTTTAAAATTATGCAAAGTAGGAAAAATAACTTGAATATCCAATTAGTAAATGTTATATCAGGAGGAATAAATCCTTACCTAAGCCCGATGAATTTATACTATATTAAGTTTGTTTTCAAAAGAAAGATAACACTAAAGCTTTATTGTTCTTCTTTTTGAATTAATTAATGTAACTGAAGAATATTGCTGGGCATCTCTGATAGTTGTGTCTTTTGTAAAGAATTCATCGTCACCAATTTATTTGTATCAACTACACCTAATATACTCATTCTCCAGTTATATATCATTGCAGACTAGCAGAAATGTTGTATTGATATTTAACTTATCTTACATTGTAAATAACTTCGCACCGTGGTTTAGGGTATACTAAGGAAAACTTTATTTGCACTTCTAATTTTCCGGCTGCTTCGTTCCATGTCGTTGTCACAGTTTTGTTTACTGGATGAACTGTAAAATATAGAAAACTGTTTTTAGAATTCTACAGATAAAACATTGTTAACATTTTGTCAAAGGTCTATTTTTCTATTAAGTTTTTGTTCAATTTCTTCCATCAATGCAATTTTACTGACGCAATTTGTTTCAATCATTTGTATCAATTGAACAAATTAAAAATTCTGGAAATTTGTCAGATACACCAAATATTATTATTTCTATGTGAACATTAGCTTACCTTCAAAATTTCCTAGATTGATTGTCAAATTAAAGTGACATCTTTTAAAGCCGTACACACAGGTATACTCTTTGTTGAGGTCGGAAGCCTGTAATTTGATAATTTGAAGAGCAAATCCATCGTCTGTCTTTCTTTCTTTGAATTTGGAAGAATCGATAGATTTGTCTTTAGAAGTTAAGATCAACACACCTCTTTCCCATTTTCTAGTTGTGCTTTCGTTTAACTGACCGTCAACTTGACAAAACAATTCTACAGTTTCATTTAATATCGCCGGTGAGGTTTTGACGTAACAACACGGAGAAGAATCACTGAAAGATGAATACACTAGCTGAAACATTCAGGGAAAGTAACTAGAACTTTGCAAAAAAGTGAACTTTATGCATAAAAACTAGGAAGCAAATAAATAAAGACCAGATAAAAAGCTTGACTATTATTTTGTGCTGTAAGTTTATGTTGTTTTGAAGGCCAAACAAATAATACGTGCAATGCTGAGTACATTTTTTATCACAAGTTATGCAAGATGTTATGCCTTTTTTATTCGCAACACGGACAAAACATTAAAATGACTACACGTATCATGTGTAATCAATTTATTCTATTTATACAAAATAATTCAAGTATAATGAGTTGCTTCTTAATATTGATTGTTTATTAGGATAGTTAATTTGAAGTGATTTACAATATTTCATCAATATATATTTTTTTCCTCTTTTTTTTTTTCTAAGCTTACTTGGTCATACCAATGAACAACTTAATATATACAGGTCAGGCAAAAGAACTGTTTATACTCGAGGATAAATGCATATATGTCTATATATATATTAATATTAATATAAATAAGTCTAAATTGAAAACAACGTTCAAACCTATGATTGTGTTGGATAAAAACCGCATTTTTTATACGTGTGCATGCAAAACAAATTTCTTGGTAGAGGGGTCTAAATACAGCAAAAAAAGTTTGTTTCTGGAAAATGTGGAAAATAATAATTTGACTCATCACTGAAGAGAAAAAAAAAAATTATTTTTAAAAAATGAAAAAAATAATAATTAATTGTTGCTTATTTAAAACATGAAAAAAAAAAGTTGGACATCGTGTATATTTTAATACCAACTGAAAGAGAAGAAAGAACTCTGACTGAAAAGTGACAGGGGAGTATAAGGTTTGTTTCTATTATTAAATCATTTAATAGCATATATAGTTGCATCAAATGTATATAGTATCACTATCAGTATAAAATTTCTATGATTTATAATATCAGCAACCATATAGTCATCTATCTAGTTCGACCAAACTCAATATGAAGTTGCATGCATGTAGTTAGTTTGAAGTTCAACTAAAACTATTCAGTATTCAGCGACACAAAGGCAAAATTATAAATAACCGATGAAATAAAAAAAATGGTGAATATTAAGTCAAAGAGACAACAATCCAATGAGGATAAAATATCACCAAACGGTATCCATGGTTCTTACATCAACGGCCATGGCACCTTCATACCAAAGGGTAAGCTGAAGATGGTCCCTATTCTTTAAACAGAATTATATACTGGTTCACCGAATATCTACATGTCCTTACAAGTTTATGAAATGAAATTGAATTGAAAAAAAAAGATTGTTTTCAATAGATGGTGAAAAAAATTATTTGTTTTTGATTGGCCCTGGAAAAAATTACAAGTTAATTTTGCTCAATGTAAAAAAAAAATTGTCTCAGAAAAAAATCCATAGCCCCGTAGAAATTATGAGATTGTTCAAATTGATTTTTATGTTTGTATAAACAATTTTTATAAGGGGGATCACTTTCAACGATTTCGCATTTTCAACAAATCGATCTATAGACATGATAGGAGACAACAATAAAAATAATTTACTAAACAGTTATAAAATACTTATGTTGGTCTTCATATTTCATTTCATTGAAACAATTGGTAAACATGGTAAACATAAACGTGTAGAAGATATGCCTACCATATGAATATAATAGAATACTAAATGTGTTAGTTGGACGTTTCGTGGTAAAAGATCTGTCATAATATTTATTGATGAGGAATTAAGATATGAACATATTGTTATATATTTATAGCCTTACTCCCTTTTTTTTTGTATTGCAGTCAATGTAATGGCACGAGTAGTTTCATATGTCCGTAATATGAATGGAATTTACTTAGTTTTCCTATGGTTAACTGTTATCTGATGTAAAATCAGCTTACAAATTATTTGGATCACGACTTGAACTGTCTTTAACAGCTGACAAATCATTTTTTTCTAAGTGAATATTGTACACTAAAAAAGTACAATCCATGGTGTACGGGAGGGGCAACATTTCATAGAAAAGCATAGGTTCCGTATGGAAAAAATGTAGCACGGGAACGCACGAAAGGATGTTTTTTTTAAAAATAAATTCAGATTTGTGCAACATTTTTGCCGACCAGTTAAGCTATGTTTATGTTATCGTTCATGTACTATATCCAAGATTTTTTTTTTATTTGTCTCAGGTAAATGCATGCTTACTCAAAAGAAAAACGGATTTTTCAACAGATGAGATTAACTCGGTGATACATACTTGTCATTATCATATGACTTTAAATATTACTATTTTCATTTTTATTTGTAATACTTCTTGTCAAGAAACTGGTGTTCATAGTTAAAACTAGTGATTAAAAACAAGATATGAGAAAGCATGGCAATACGGATTTGGCTCGTCAACGGATACAAAAATTGTAAAATACAGTTTTATATACACTTTGTCGCTAAGCGATTACTGTGACGGCTAATATATATGTTTAATTTATGTATTATAATATGACGTGCTTCTTTCGCTTTGTAAACAACAGCGTGATAAAATTATCGATATATTTATACTTAGCGCAGACTCAGAGATGCACATCTTGATGGCTGTTACTATTTACCTCCCACGTAAATCCATCGTATCCTAGCCTATGTGCAAACACTGTGGATTTTGTTAATTGTGTTCAAATTGAAATTGATAAAGAAACTACAGAACCGTTATCCCTATTCTAAATGAATTAATGCACAAAATCTTAAAAAATCTATAAAATCCAAATAAAATAAAATTTCGCAAAATTTCATGAACGATCTTGGCGCATTAACGTCATGTGAAAACATGACGTCATAAGAATAAAAACTCTCAAGCTGAAGATTATTCCGTTACGTGTACGCTCTAAATTTGGATAATATCGAATTGAAATGGAGTTTTGAGTAGGTGTTATTTCATTTTCTATTTTATTGCATCATTTGCACATTCATGGATTTCAGCAAGTCAACATGGCGGCTCACTCCTTAGTTACGACATGTCAACTGTGGATTTGACAGTAAATAGTAGCAAACGAAAAAAAATATTTGAGTAAAGAATCATAAGGATTGAACACATTTTTTTAATGGTTATTTAAGAAATAATTCATGCAAGCCTTAGATTTATTTGAAATTTGTAGCTTTTATCTTACAGGGGGTAAAATAGAACAGCCATACACATGGCAATCTTACCTTCGCTTCAGTTTTTCAAATTACCGTATTTGCACATGTCCATTAGAATTGAAATAATTCATGCATGCCATAGATTTGTTATCATTTTCACATGGCCTCGGCCATGTGAAAATTTCCAACAAATCTATGGCTTGCATGAATTATTTCTTAATTGAATTGATTCAAAGTAATGTATCTTAAGATGACAATTCCCAACATTACCAACTAAATCATTAAATTAGCGTCGGGTCCAATTAGGCAATATCGGATGCGTGAGGGCCTAGGTATTATATGTATTTTACCGATTGTGTTCTATTCCTGATCGTCACATTTTGACTGACATCTTTGGTAAATGATCATGGGACCATATTTTTGGGGCATTTTTGTAATCTTATTTACTGACAAAAACCACACAAATAACAATGTACTTATCATTTTAATTAAAAAGTGTTGGTTTGAGGATAATAAGTCTAAAACAATGATTAATTAAGAACTCGAAACATGTTGAAGATAAGAAATACAGAGTAACTAGTTAAACAATCCAATGAGGATAAAATATCACCAAACGGTATCCATGGTTCTTACATCAACGGCCATGGCACCTTCATACCAAAGGGTAAGCTGAAGATGGTCCCTATTCTTTAAACAGAATTATATACTGGTTCACCGAATATCTACATGTCCTTACAAGTTTATGAAATGAAATTGAATTGAAAAAAAAAGATTGTTTTCAATAGATGGTGAAAAAAATTATTTGTTTTTGATTGGCCCTGGAAAAAATTACAAGTTAATTTTGCTCAATGTAAAAAAAAAATTGTCTCAGAAAAAAATCCATAGCCCCGTAGAAATTATGAGATTGTTCAAATTGATTTTTATGTTTGTATAAACAATTTTTATAAGGGGGATCACTTTCAACGATTTCGCATTTTCAACAAATCGATCTATAGACATGATAGGAGACAACAATAAAAATAATTTACTAAACAGTTATAAAATACTTATGTTGGTCTTCATATTTCATTTCATTGAAACAATTGGTAAACATGGTAAACATAAACGTGTAGAAGATATGCCTACCATATGAATATAATAGAATACTAAATGTGTTAGTTGGACGTTTCGTGGTAAAAGATCTGTCATAATATTTATTGATGAGGAATTAAGATATGAACATATTGTTATATATTTATAGCCTTACTCCCTTTTTTTTTGTATTGCAGTCAATTTTTTCTATTTTATTGCATCATTTGCACATTCATGGATTTCAGCAAGTCAACATGGCGGCTCACTCCTTAGTTACGACATGTCAACTGTGGATTTGACAGTAAATAGTAGCAAACGAAAAAAAATATTTGAGTAAAGAATCATAAGGATTGAACACATTTTTTTAATGGTTATTTAAGAAATAATTCATGCAAGCCTTAGATTTATTTGAAATTTGTAGCTTTTATCTTACAGGGGGTAAAATAGAACAGCCATACACATGGCAATCTTACCTTCGCTTCAGTTTTTCAAATTACCGTATTTGCACATGTCCATTAGAATTGAAATAATTCATGCATGCCATAGATTTGTTATCATTTTCACATGGCCTCGGCCATGTGAAAATTTCCAACAAATCTATGGCTTGCATGAATTATTTCTTAATTGAATTGATTCAAAGTAATGTATCTTAAGATGACAATTCCCAACATTACCAACTAAATCATTAAATTAGCGTCGGGTCAAATTAGGCAATATCGGATGCGTGAGGGCCTAGGTATTATATGTATTTTACCGATTGTGTTCTATTCCTGATCGTCACATTTTGACTGACATCTTTGGTAAG